CCCAATGAAAGGAGTTTGACACAACACCGGCATCCATGTATTACTTCTTATTGAATTGAAAACTAATACAATTTCAAAATTATAGCATTTTAAGTATTTACCTCAATGTGACATTGTTTGTTTTTTTTGTTTTGTTTTTTTTTTATTAGAGGGACTCTATAGTTATTATATCTTAAATTGAACTATAACTATGCGTTTGTTCCCATTACCCTATTCCTTTAACGTAAGTACAAGACGATCTTGCCGCACTTACGGTCTTAGGATTAAATCTATAAATAAATGGTAATGACTCACAAGACCCGCAAATCGCCACCGTTACCCTTTCTTACCCTCAACCACGCGACAAAACGGATGTTATTCCCTCCCTCACTTTCCAATAAATATGACTGTATGCGTTTTTAATTTGCTAACTGTTGTTTTAACACGCCGAACAAAAATGTTAGCTTCTTATCTTTAAAATTCCATTAGTTTTTTGTTGTTGTTTTTTTTGCACTCGAAAAATTAACAATTTATATTAAAGAAAATAATTGGGATTTTAACAAATTGTTTAAGTAGAAAAATGCTGATCCAGCAATATTTTTCAATATGGCAAGAAATTTTGTTTATAGCTAATTTAAAATAAATGTAATAAATAGTAACTTCACCCACTTTTTTGTTTTAAATGTTAATGTCTATGAAAATTTGATTTTAAAAAGTGGGAAAGAGAGGGTGGGATACATTTCCAAATCAGTATCTCCACAACGAATATGTTACAGCTTGAGCTTTGGTATGGATTTAAATTGTTAAATAAATATATGATAACAATATTTTTTTAAATATATGATAACAATATGCTTTAAATATGTGGAAATATACGATCAAATATTTACTTGTTCAATAGGAAATGTGTGGTAAAAGGGGGTTGGGACATATATATGAGACATTAACATAGTTGAGTGTTGGGACATATAAATGAGACATTAACATGTTCCGTGTTGGGACATATATATGAGACATTAATATAGTTCAGTGTTGGGACATAATATATGAGACATTAACATAGTTCAGTGTTGGGACATATATGGCTGTCATCCGTCCGTCACAACGTGACGATGGAGTGGGCTTCGGAGGACGAAATCCACATGGCCTGGGATTATACTTCAAGGATTATAACCTGGTTCCCAACAGCAAATCGCCTCTCTCCACGACGCTGGATAACCCAAGGGAACATCATGTGGATGATACAGCTTGGCACCAGTGGCGTCGCAGGAGTTGTCGGAATGTTTCATTGTATCAATGTTATCCGCCTTTCGGGACTCCATCTCCGGGTTTTGATTTCAGAGTTTCCTTCCCTTAGATGGGTTGCTTTCAGAGGTTAACGAGTCCCATCTACCCGGGGTGCTGGTGGTGTTTTTGCTTGACTGGGCTATTGCTGAAATATATATGAGACATTAACATAGTTAAGGGTTGGGCAAAAAGTGAGCTACTGTGTTAATAGTTGGGGTTCTTAAAAAAAAACAAAACCAAAAAAAAAAAAAAAAAAAAAAAAAAAAATAAAAAGGGAGTAATGGTGTAAAAATTGGGGGTTTTAAAAAAAAAAAAAAACAAAAAAAAAAAAAAAAAAAAAAAAAAAAATTTTAAATTTTCTTTCAAAATAAATAAATAGGCGGTACAGTTATGTCGGAGAACTCAAGAACTTAAGACGTGACAATGGGATAAGAGAGTCGTCTTTAAAGATAAGAATTGTGTTTCTAACGATTTACCGATACTTTATTTCAGGAGCGAGACAGAGGTTGGATACATTTTTAATCTTATCAACACCCGTTAATGCTACAGTTATTTAAAACGGCACACACACACACAGACACACAGACACACTTGCACATATATTTACACATACACTTTTAGAAAGTATGTTCTCTTTGTAGCTCTGGGGGCATGCAAATTGGTTTGATTGGCCTATATTATAATGGAGAAACAAGTCTCAAAACCCATTGATGTGAGAAATGTAAAGATCTATAGATATATACTGATTTAAAATTAACTAATGTGTAATTTACTATTTCCTAAATACACATTTCAAATGCGTTTAAAATTATCTTTTTATTATTTTTTCCTGGGATACATACACCAAACTCGCTTCTGTTACATACGTCAAAATAGGAGTTTTAGATGTTGAAACTTCGAATATATATATATTTAAACGATTTTACAAAATATTTTTAAAAAAAAATATTTTATTATTACATCATTATTATTATTATTATTATTATTGTTAGTGTTATGTTTAGCTATTTATTTTTGGGGTGGGTGTGTTTCTGGCAGAAAGCTCAGTTTTTTAGTGGGGTCGAAACATCATAAATACCTCGGACGTCACTAAGCCCCAGCTAAACCTCTGATAATATTGATAGCAACATCATCTGAGATACCATGCCATTTGCCCTCTGCTCTTCCACTTGGATGATCCCGCCAAATCCCTCCGACACATCACGCGTACATACAGAAGTAGTCAACATGATTCAATGTTTTCGAGCTTTTAGCAAATTACTTTGGACTCCACACAAAACTCCCCCCCCCCCTAGCTTTGGCTGAAGTAATCATGTTTCTGGCACCCACCCATGTTTTTGTCAGAGTGACCTTAGTTACCACATGGTCCCCTCTCATGTCAGACTAGCCCCCAAAACTCGAGGCCAGGCCAACTCGACTGTGACTCCCGGCCAGACTAACCTTCAGAATTGACGCAATTCTACCATCCTAACGAGAGATAGATATCACATTCCATTTGTGTGCCGGGTTCCGGTTATTGTACCATTTCAGATGTAAACAAAATAAAAAGACGTCCCACTCAAGGGGAGCATAAAAATCTCCAACATAAACATTCCAGTCTTTATTGGATCCCATCATTGGGAGGTCATAGGTCACACACATATTTGAACATTTCTTACATTTGAATTTCTGAGTACTGTCTGTCGCCAGTAAAAACGATGGCTTTACATTTGTTTTTCTTTCCCTGGATGGCGAGCAGCCATTCTCAATCAGCGGTCTCCTGGGGATGACGGTCGGTGACCATTTCCACATCGATATATTATAGTCAATAACACTGCTACGAAAAGAATGCTCAAACCTATTAGTGATGTGATGATTAATCGGAATCGTATCGGAATAATCGAAATATCGGGATTTTTTCAAAGCATCGGGAATCGGTATCGGAGCTGCATAATTCAGACCCGATTACGATACCAAAACGATTCTTAACTGATTAACTGCCGTAAGCCGGGGACAGCGCAAAGTTTGTTTCGCGTTATAATATTCTTTATTTTGTTCCGAATAGCATATTGTAAAGCTTCAATAGCAAGTTAATAAACTTTTCTAATCAATTCTCAACTTTTATATGAATTAAATAGGTTAATACCTGGGCACAGTCATACATATATGTAATAATGGCCAGGAATCGGAATCGTATCGGGAATTGGGATAATTGAGTAGAATCGGAATCGTATCGAAATCGTTAAAAATGTTGGTATCGTCCCATCACTAAATCTATGTCTAGCATATTTGGCGTAGAATGGCAGCTTTGGTTGATTGGCGCCATTTTGTACTTTCAATAGAGAGGTGGCGTGTGCTACCAACGGGAGAGGTTTCTTTTCATGGAGAGTGGGGCAGGGGGCGTCAAAAGCATTTACCCTCTTCGGGTGGCACTAACCCAAACTACGCCACAGGCTAAAACACACCAAAAGACAGCAACTTATACGATGTCATCTCTAACAAGGTATGAATGAATTCAACGATGTCATCTCTAACAAGGTATGAATGAATTTAACGATGTCATCTCTAACAAGGGATGGCTGAATTCAACGATGTCATCTCTAACAAGGTATGAATGAATTCAACGATGTCATCTCTAACAAGGTATGAATGAATTCAACGATGTCATCTCTAACAAGGGATGGCTGAATTCAACGATGGAGTTTTTTGTTTCAATGCTACGAGACTTCAGCGTCATTTGAATACATTTACTTGAAAGAACATGTTAAAAGAATATTGCTGTTGTTACGACATTTTTAACGAAAGATTCCAATGAACATGTACCAACATGTTCACTCTAATTGCAATAGAAAGTTACCAAAGATGAAAAGTTTTCATATTGCTACCAGCAACTTTCTCAGACATGATTAATTATTTCTCCTAAGCGTTGTAACACAACTATTTAAATTCATTATACATTGTTGATAAGGTTTCGTCACAATGTTTCAAAGTGCCTTCCTTCAACCAGCTTACACAAACATTTCAACTGTGATCCCTTTCTTCACAGCGTAGAGACCTCTAAATTTATAAATCGGAGTCACTTGATAAAAAAAAATGGTTGCTTCTTTTCTTTGGTACATCGTCTGCTGACCGAAATTAAGTTTGTGATTGTATGGCGCCTCGTGGGGACAGACTGACTGAGGGAATGGTAGGATAAAATTCAGGGCTTGGACTTTGCTTTTCCATAAAAGCAACGACGGACTTCCTATTTATGATTTCCAACCAATGTATTTGGTGGGATACAATGAATGTAGCAGGGGGCCTATACGTTAATGTAGAACATAAAATGGACGTTCAATGGGTTGTTGCTTGGTGGTTGTGTCTAAACCGTATGGGAAGGGCGGGGGTATCGTTAAATCTTGTTCACGTATTTTTTCCGAGAATCAGAATTCATAATCGGACAATTTTTTTTCTCGAAACCTACCAATCTGATGTTACATGTTGTTATAAAATATTATTTTTAATAACAGAACACCAGATATAACACTACAAATATAAATTCAGTGTTTAATGCTATATGGTGTTCAAAAACTTACATTTTTTAAATATAAAATATGACACAATTAAGTACCAACATATGAAACTTATGTCATAAAAAGCTTATACATTTTAACATTTTAATAAACTGATTTAAAAGTCAATACTCTTTAACATCGGGACATGCTACGAATCATTTAACAGCATTTTCTTTCACCATACTATCTCTTTCTCTCTCTCTCTCTCTCTCGTCATCATCTCTCCCCATTCTGTCTCACTGTCATTTGTCACCATTCTCTCCTCTCTCACACCATTCTCCATCAACATATTCTCTCACCATCCTCTCTTACCATCATTTCTTACCATCATTTCTTACCATCATCTTACACCATCCATCCTAAAAGTCACCATACTCAGTTACAATCTCATCCAAAGTCTGTGATTCAGTTCAATAATTCATCTATGACTAGTAACATTGACAAGAAACCACCGAGCAAAGTGTAAAAACCACACAAGCTCACAGAATATTCATCACACAACATTTCACATATAACACCTCTGTTGAGTTCGTCTGAATTTATTTTTCATTTAAAAAAAAATCTTTCATTTAATAATTTTAAAAAAAAAACTTTATCAAAATATGTTCAATGTTAACGTAACACTGTAATACTGTAAGCCCTGGTTTACATTTGAAGAGTCTCCAACCTCATAACATAACAGTTCAAATTGTGGAGATCTTTTCAACGTTTACTTTATTGTAATATCCTTTTAACTCAGTGGTTGGCATTCATTTAAACATATATTTTGAGATCCACTGAAACATGTTTGGGACGACTCACAAGGTGTGACATGTAAAAGGTGTTTTTTATGAAGTTACTTTGCCGTCGTATAATCTTGGTCTGTGCCGATGGTGGGTGTGGAAGACGTCATGGTGTCATTTAGCTGACATGAATGAAGGAGATTTAATACTGGGGCCCTCTTCTGGTGACCACACTCAACACTCGACAGTTCTACGTTCTCTGGGACATTCTGTCTGACCCATTGTTTCACGATCGTTTGTTATCGTCTCATTGAGTTGAACTTTCTCCTCCAGTTCTTCTTCTCTGGCGCTGACATGCAGCTCAGCGGCGTCCACGGCCCACGGCTGAAGGGAGCCGCTGCTGAATACGATGTAGAACACCGCACCAAACACATAGATGGCCGCGGACAGGTAGAACACGCCACGCCATTGTTCCTGGGTTTGCTGGGCGGATAGAAAGTCAATGTTCAGAACTTAAGAAAAAATAAGGGCACACGGTGTGTCCAAGTTTGAAAATATACTATACAGCAGCAAAGAGAACATGACATAACCTCGTTGAACAAAAATTAGACAAGAAGAAAAAGTGTCTTAAAAAGCTATTTACAAAGCAACTTTCTGAGTCGAAAATTAGAATTCACTAGGAATAGGCGTATCACAAATTATGAAATGGTGTAAAGTTAAGTCGTGCACCTGAATGACACATAAAGTGTCATCTGATGTCATTGTAATAGAAAACGAGGCCGGGGAAAATGACGTCATGTAACAGAATGAAATTGTAGAAAACCAAATTGTGACAACAGCAATACGCGAACCAAGATATTCACCTATAGAGATATGGGAGGGGAATATATGGAAGATCTCATAGCCACAATAATAGAATTAAGCCATATTGTTATTACCTTTATTTATGAGGCATCGTTTCGTTTGATCAGTGCGGCACAATTAATATTTGTATTGTCTAACATCACCAGTGTTACACTGCATTGTCTAACATCACCAGTGTTACACTGCATTGTCTAACATCACCAGTGTTACACAGCATTGTCTAACATCACCAGTGTTACACAACATTGTCTAACATCACCAATGTTACACAACGTTGTCTAACATCACCAGTGTTACACAGCATTGTCTAACATCACCAATGTTACACAACGTTGTTTAACTTCACCAGTGTTACACACCATTGTCTAACATCACCAGTGTTACACAACATTGTCTAACATCACCAGTGTTACACAACTAACAAAGATGACAAATAATGACTCAGATGACGTTACGATATGTGCACGAGAAACGTTACAATGGATACCAAAACGGTGAGGTACAATGCCAGAAACTTTTGGTACAAGTGGTACAAGTGGTACGTAACAACACATATGTCCACTTACATCAGGTGTTAAAAGGGCGATGGCAACAGGCGACAGAAGGCCCGGGATGGTGGCGATCGTGTTCGACACGCCATAGATGACGCCCCCGTAGGAGGGCGCGATATCGCCCACATTCGTGAACAGACCCCCGCCGTACTGGAAGCCGGTCAGGGACACCCCGAGGGTCAGTAACGTCACAGCCAGCCCCCACTGGCTGCAGCCAACGAAGCTGAGTCCAATTAACAGCACAGCCGGGACGAATTTGCCTGGAAGGAAAATCAAGAATGAAATATCATAGTGTTTGTTTAGTTCCTCATCGTCTGACGTTATAGCATCACTGGCAGTCACTGTTAACTGGTCGGATTAAAATCTTAGCGTTATTTCTCCAATGTCAACTTTGCTTATTATGAAATATGTATGAACCATAATTTTATCACACTATCACCTTTGTTATCTTGATATATTCATCTTTTTCTAATTAACATATAAATTATTATTTTTCTCTTACTTACTCACTAACGTACTTATGCCTTTACCCCGTCTATAAGAATTTTGCGTTCAGAGTCAGCTTCTTTAACTCCCATAGCTTCTTTAATAGAACAAATGCTGACCTAACAATTCAAATTCTGGCCCTGACATCCGCTTCGGATCCACCATGTATGTCTAAAGGCCTCCCCTTCCTCCAGTGCATTATCTGCCAGGAGAGATATGCTCTTGGTTGGATGAATTTTCCTTTATGAGCTTTGTCTAGCTTTCATTTATATTTAGTCAGAGTTGTGCCGAAATAGTCGCTACATCTTTAGTCTTTTCCTGTATTTGTTGCTGGTTGTGGGACAGAAGTGCAATGTCATCTACAAAGTCTAGGTTATTCAGCTGTTCCCAGGGTCTTCACTGTATCCCCACGGAATCGTTCCACCCTGCATGTCATTTGTGAGTCTACCTTCGTGTACCACCCTACATGTCATTTGTTAGTTTACCTTCGTGTACCACCCTGCATGTCATTTGTTAGTTTATCTTCGTGTACCCCCTGCATGTCATTTGTTAGTTTACCTTCGTGTACCACCCTACATGTCATTTGTGAGTCTAGCTTCGTGTACCACCCTACATGTCATTTGTTAGCTAAACCTTCATGTACCCCCTGCATGTCATCTGTGAGTCTACCTACGTATACCACCCTGCATGTCATCTGTGAGTCTACCTACGTATACCACCCTGCATGCCATCTGTGAGTCTACCTTCGTATACCCCCTTGCATGTCATCTGTGAGTCTACCTTCGTATACCACCCTGCATGTCATCTGTGAGTCTACCTTCGTATACCACCCTGCATGTCATTTCTCCTCAAGAACTCTGAATGATCCTGACTTGTTTACCTTGTACCCCATAATGCCAGAGAGTTTTCCACAAGGTTGGTCGGTCCAAGCTCTCAAGGGCTTTTTCGTAGTCGATAACATTGAGATATAGTGGCAGTTCCATGGGGACTGTTCTACTATGATTTGTAGTCTTGTTATTTAATCTGTGCATGATCTGTTTTGGCCGGGCCTAGCCTGTTGATCGCGTAGGTGCGTGTCATCCTGGTCCTTCCTTCTATTCACAATAAATATATTAAAGACCTTTCCTGGTATAGACAGCAGTGTAATTTCTCTGTAGTTCGCACAGTTGGTGATAGTCACTTTCTTTAGTACTTTGATGAGGCATCCTTCTTTCCAATCTTTTGGAACTCTCTCTTTCTTTCCTAATTTTTTTTTTTTTTTTTTTTTGCATCAGAGGGTGCAGCTTGTTGACTTTTGCATCTACCTGCCTGCTTTCATCATCTTTTTTTTTTTTTTTTTTTTTTTTTTTTTTTTTTGCATCAGAGGGTGCAGCATGTTGACTTTTGCATCTACCTGCCTGCTATCATCATCAGAGGGTGCAGCATGTTGACTTTTGCATCTACCTGCCTGCTATCATCATCAGAGGGTGCAGCTTGTTGACTTTTGCATCTACCTGCCTGCTATCATCATCAGAGGGTGCAGCTTGTTGACTTTTGCATCTACCTGCCTGCTATCGTCATCTCTGTTGTGTCATCGGGTCCCGGTGCTTTCCTTTTTTTTTGAGCTGCCTGTTAGCCAGGGCTATTTCTACCTTATTTGGGGCACTGTCTTCTATTTACTGGTTGTTTAACTGGTCTGTTTGTAGTTAGAGGTCTGTTAATTAATCCCTGTAAGTATTGCATCCATATTTTTAATGTTATTGTTCTACCTTCCTTATCTTTAACCGGTCTCTCTGTCCCCTTGTATCTTCCTGATAGCTTTCTTGTTATGTCAAATAGCTCTCTTTCATATTTCCCTTCCTGACTGCTTCTTCTGCTGTTGATGCTAGACCATCTATGTACGCTCTTTTATCCTTTTTGATGCTATGACCCTTCGATTTGCTTCTTTATATTTCTTTTGTACTTTTGTTTTCTCTGGCCTGTTACAGCTGTTGTTTAATGAACACTTCATTTCTTTCCTTTCGTTTATTATTTGCAACATATTGAGTGAGAGCCAATCTTTGTGTTAGGTAAGAGCCAATCCTTTTTGTTGAGTGAGAGCCATTATTTGTGTTGAGTGCGAGCAAAACTTTTTGTTGAGTGAGAGTCAATCTTTGCGTTTAGTGAGAGTCAATCTTTGTGTTGAGTGAGAGTCAATCTTTGTGTTTAGTGAGAGTCAATCTTTGTGTTGAGTGAGAGTCAATCTTTGTGTTGAGTGAGAGTCCATCTGTTTGTTGAGTGAGAGTCAATCTTTGTGTTGAGTGAGAGTCCATCTGTGTGTTGAGTGAGAGTCCATCTTTGTCCTGAGTGAGAGTCAATCTTTGTGCAGAGTGATAGTCAATCTTTGTGCTGAGTGAGACCCAATATTTGAATGTTTGGTTCACCAGCCCTAATACCTCGTTACACGTTGATGATACAGACATCTTTATGTTTTTCCATGTATATTCTTGTTGTTTCTGCTCCGTCTGGCAGAGATGCTGTGTTGTTTTTTTAATCTTCTAGCAGCTGGCTCTTCCCAATCGTTCTTCAGTCTTAGCTGGAGTCTTTCCCCAATTAGATGGTATTCAGTTTGAACATCAGCTCCTGGTTTGTACGCTCACATTTTGTAGAGACCGTCTGAATTGCGTGCTAAGACATAAAGGATCAATTGGGTTTTGTCTTTTGCTGTCAAGGGACTCCCAAATTACTTTGTGGATATTCTTTTGCTGGAATTGACGTTCCCCAATAACGATCTCATTTGCTGAGCAGAAGTCTGCCAGTCTTTTTCTTAATTAATGCGTGTAAAAACAGTCCAATTATTATCCAGAGACAGTTCGGCCTTAAATTTCAAAACGATGGATGCAAGAGGTAGTGGTCCCGCGATTGTCCATTATCACAAAGACACACACAAAAGTCTTAAGATACCTTAAAATGCTTTCCATATACAAAATCGGTCAGTACCTATTGACGCCATAAAATATGATATACATAAAATAACTAAGATTTAAAAAAAAAAAAAGAAAAAAGAAAAAAAGCAAAAGCTGACCTATAGAGTTAAACACTTTTCTCGTTGCAGTCGTAGAGAGTATATTTTTGCTTCGAACAAAATCAGCCATAAAAAAGAAAAACATAAAATAAAAAAAATTTAAAAAAAAAAAAAAGAAAAAAGAAAAAAAGCAAAAGCTGACCTATAGAGTTAAACACTTTTCTCGTTGCAGTCGTAGAGAGTATATTTTTGCTTCGAACAAAATCAGCCAAAAAGCTGGACAGGGTGATCACCAGCCAGAACCCGATGTAGGGAACTGCAGATAGAAAGCCGTTCTGTGAAAGACATATTTGCAAAGTGTTACCCTGGTCAATTGTGGTTAACTGTGGTCAACTGTGGTCAACTGTGGTCAACTGTGGTCAACCGTGGTCAACTGTGGTCAACTGTGGTCAACTGTGGTCAACAGATATTTCACTAAATGTTAACGACACAAGGGGTTACATACATTCAAGTAAAACCAGGGTTTCTTTCAGCCAAGTGCACCCCCCCCCGAGCAAAAATATATCCAACAATAAATCAACTGGAACTGCTGGCACTGCCCCCCCCCAAAAAAAAATCTAAAGTGCCCCTCCTGTGGAAAATTTCTGAAAGAAACACTGAGTAAAACGAGTCTCGTAATTAACGTCCACATCTATTTCACAATCATGACTTATGGGTAGGGTAAAAAAAATATTTCTATGATAAAAGATGTGAAACTAACATAAAATAATGTTTCGGAAATTTCAACTTTTAGCGTATTCAGTTTTCACATACACGTTAACTGTTTTTTTCAAAAGGAATTGTAGAAAGAATTCAGTAAAAATTGTACCCATCTTTAGAATGAGATATGGAGTGAAACTCCACGAAAACGGCATAGTGAATAAGTTGAAAACAATATCAAATAATCATATCGTGTTTAACCTTAACCCAAACCCTAAGCCTAAATAAGATCAAATAATCATATCTTGTATAACCGTAAACCTAAATAAGTTAAAAACATTATCGAATACATTAAATCTTGTATTGAGTAAAGCAAATGGCTGCCACTCATTTACTGTAAATAACAGTTGTTTTGTTAACCTTTTAAAAACACCAGAAAAATGCCATCAAAATTGTTTCAGTGTATCAACAGACCCACCTCCTTGATATCAAAATGCAGAACTTCCTTCAGGTACGTGGGAATGTTGGTCAGGAAGGTGTACTCCCCCCAGTTGCAGCAGGTGTGGGCTACAAAGATGGCCCAAACAGGCATCGATTTCAAGATGGCCAGCCACGGGGTCTTCAGCTGAAACAAGGACAAGATCAGTTGGCATTATTAGTGGGATCATCCCACCCTCCCTCACCCCCCCCCCCCAACCACGGGTCACCAGCTAGGACAGCGCATCTCACAATTTTACAACAGCACTTAAGCCAAAAGTTTTTAGTCTAGAAATATGGACTATCTGAGACATTGGACTTATAAGTTCAAACTTTAAAATAAATGTGTGGTGTTCTGCTGTATGAGATAGCATCCAACAACAAAAATGTCTTAATTTGTAAAGCGTTCTATGTTTCCAACGAAAAGTCCAAGACCGTTTTCTAGATCAGCTCTTCTTTTATTTTTTTAAATTTTTGGTGGTTGAATGTTTTAGTTGATGTCATTGAATCGGGAAAATCCAATAAAAAGACGGATTAATCCGAATGTTGGAACTTTTGTTTTCTAAATATTTCCCAGTAATTAAAACAAATTCCTTTAAAAATGTCTTACGGTAAAATCCTAACAACGCCCTGGTTCAAAATTGTTAAGTTAAAATATATAGTTGTTTTTTTTTGTTTTTTTTAGCGTGTTTCTTTTTCTTTAAAAGTTGAAGATTTGACCCGATGTTAGCGGGATAATAAAGGAAGGCGTTTTGCAATACATTCTACTTGCTATTGCGATGTCTCAATATATAATTATCAATTTATATATTTAAATGACTCGGATTTGTATTGTTTTGTATCCACAAACATATATATATATATATATATATATATATATATACAAAAATGATAATAATAGTCCACGCCTTAAAATGTATATTTAGGAAATAGTTAACCATACCCTTGCATCAAAGCAGATATGGTCGATGGGTTTTATTGAATTCCAATTCCGTAAAATAATTTTTAGTAATCAGTATCACTGTTTTTAAGAATCCAGACTTATTTAAAAATTGACTAGATTTCCGTAAATTAAAAAATGATTAATTTAAAAAAAAAAAAAAAGAATTCAGCTTTTGATGGTCACCTTAGCTCGTTCTTTTATATATGCTGACTAAACTATAATAATATATATATCTTCATATCCTTGAATCAATAAAAGGATGTTTACCTTGAGGATATGGCACTTTTCATATCTCAAGAGACAAAGACATGAACAATTAAGTAAATTAAACAAAATTAAAGTCATGGATGCCTAGAGTTTGCTAGAGGTGGCTAAAGGAGCGCTATGGGCAAAGTGCTGACGAGAAATTTGAGACTCGTTGACTAAGAGCTCCTTTTTTTTTTTCATTTCCCCGCCCAGTATTACAGACTTCCTGTGTTCACCGAATGTGTCAAGTCTAGACATGGGAGACAAATTGTTCTTAGTTACCACCAACCAGCAAACACTGGTGGGGAGGGGGGGTGGGGTGTGGCATGTATATTTTATAATGTTGGACGTAGTGGGTGAGTTCACAATTTATGGACTTTCTTGGTTCCCATTTCTTCAGAGACATTCACTTGAGCTAGAGGCAGACACGCAAAATATGGGATACACCTGGAGGCATCTGGAAAGGAAAGCACATCTCCGTGATGAATGGACAATTCTTGTGGACGGTCCATGGACCAGGCAGGGTAAAAAGGCATAAGGAGAAGAAGAATGATAATGCCCAATGTGAATCAAGTAACTGACCAAGATCCTATGAAATTTTTTCATTGTAGAGCCCCAAGCATCCAGGACTTCATTTAGTACGTATTTATTTATAACTTAACAACCCCGTTCATAGTTCATACACAGCTTACTATATTTCGATATTGTTCCCCACAACCTATAACAAGTCCAAGTCTTACTTACATACAGATATACTCATCATTTTTTTTTCAAATAAGTCGAGGATTACTGGAGCATTACACGTTATTGAAATCGTATTTCATTCAAATAAGTTTTTTCCATTCCAAATATTCATTTGATATCTTCACTACGAATATTGGCATTCATGTAAGTAGGACTGACACATCAATGTTTGAGGATGATCAATTTGATATCTATTTATGGAACAATAAAAGACTAGTTCTCTAAACCGATTTTGTAAATTACACATAATCAATTTCTAAATGCATCATCTCGAGATCTAGAACGATGCCGTGAATCAGTAATACAGCTTTTGTAATTTTGACAGTAAAAAATCCAAATTGCTGGATGGAAATTAAAGGTGCCAAAATTAGAAACTTTATTTCTCAAAGGATCAAGATGAAAGTGACATGGGGAGTCGGGAGATATTCATCGGAGAACATTTCTTAAAACTCAATGGGTATCGCATTTCGTGAGTTTTTTGTTACATGGTACCTCTCTCTTTCCCTATTTCTTTCTCTCTCTCTCTCTCTCTCTCTCTCTCACTCTTTCACTCTTTCTCTGCCCCTCTCTATCTCCATCTCTCCCTCTCTCTCTATCTCTCTCTCGCACAGACAAACACATGAAGTACCAACATTATGACCAAGATTCTATATCCTTCTGAGAAATTTGTCAGATTTTCGAGCCTCTAACTGAGGTCTTTAGCAAACGCTATGATATATTTTTTTTCTGAACCGAAGAAACTTTCCTCTTTTCATTGTTACACTAAAGAGAAAAAGAAAAACACAATACTTCAGAATTGTTCTGTAATAACGGGGTTGTAACTAGACGTTCTCACCCGTTTGTTGGTTGTCACCATGCCAGACAGACTTGATTCGATGTAGTGTCGCTCTGTCCCCGAGATTCTCGGGTGCTGTGCCGGACTGTCGTACACAGCATATGTCCACGCGATGTACCACACGATCCCAAACAAACCTGGGACCAGAAAAGAAAAAAAAATCAACCAAGTCCCAGGAAATGGTGGTAAGTGGTGTCTGTATCTGGTCACACCTTCGCAACAAAGGGGGTAGGGGTGGATTTCGAAATGTCGAGCCTACCAAAAATAAAGTAACATGGTCAAGGTCATATTTGACAAAAATGGATTTTTGAGTGCGGTGAGGTCTATGACGAGGCTGTGTCAATAAGGACACTTTTCTATGAGATGATACATATGTCTATGTCAGAGCGTATTTGAAGATATACACAAATGAACATATTCTATAGGTATTTTTTTTAAAGAAGGGGGGGAGGTGGGGCGGATGAACCTAAATCGATTCTTTATACAACGAGTATTCTCTGAGAGTTTTTTTTTTAAAATTTTAATTTGACTGTTAATTTGTTCAGTTTGGGAACGTGTTTTAAATTTTAGGTGCTATAATTCACTTCACATCCATGAGTTCATAGGCGATATTAACTTTAAAACGAATAGAAGCTAATCAAATTGATAGTTTTTAAAACCTAAATAGCAAACCCCATAAATGTATTTAAAATATTCACTTGTTATTTCCTTCTTAATATTCAGCAGGTAGTAGTTAACTCTGTTATTACTGGTGGACGCGGGTCAAATATAATATAACAGATAATATGTATTTTGCCATTCCTCCTTTAACACACGTTAATGTGAGAAAAAATTCCCCTGTGCCTTCCTTAATGGCACGATGATTTATTTACCTTGCAGATAAAATATACTGGGCCAGCCGCCGTCAAAGCCATACTGGCACAACAAGGCTGTTAGAGGATATGTGATGACTTTTCCCAGCTGAGACCCTGTGAAGGACGAATCCGATAAGATTCATGATGATCAAGCAGGAGGCACGAGGTATCTCAGTACTGATCTCAATCTTACTTACATACAAAGATACATCTGTGTCACAACGCAGGAACACTTGGCCCATTTTCTCCTTTCAAATTAACTTCCAAATTAACCATCAAATGAACCTTTTAAAAGTTCTCACGTTAAAAGTGTTCTAGTTTATAAACAATTGACTTCATTTTAAACTGTGGTTTTTTACAAACAAATGCTGATAATGAATATGGACTTTAGAATCAAAAACAAATTTTAGTTGCTTGGATCAATATCGTTTTGTATTTTATTTCTTCTTATTACTCAACATGGGTTTTCTCAACATGGGATTTCTCAACATGGGATTTCTCAACATGGGTTTTCTCAACATGGGTTTTCTCAACATGGGTTTTCTCAACATGGGTTTTCTCAACATGGGTTTTAATCAACATGGGTTTTAATCAACATGGGTTTTCTCAACATGGGTTTTAATCAACATGGGTTTTCTCAACATGGGTTTTCTCAACATGGGTTTTAATCAACATTGGTTTTCTCAACATGGGTTTTCTCAACATGGGTATTCTCAACATGGATTTTAATCAACATGGGTTTTCTCAACATGGGTTTTCTCAACATGGGTTTTCTCAACATGGGTTTTCTCAACATGGGTTTTCTCAACATGGGTTTTCTCAACATGGGTTTTAATCAACATGGGTTTTCTCAACATGGGTTTTAATCAACATGGGTTTTCTCAACATGGGTTTTCTCAACATGGGTTTTCTCAACTAGGGTTTTCTCAACATGGGTTTTCTCAACATGGGTTTTAATCAACATTGGTTTTCTCAACATTGGTTTTAATCAACATTGGTTTTCTCAACATGGGTTTTCTCAACATGGGTTTTCTCAACATGGGTTTTCTCAACATGGGTTTTAATCAACATTGGTTTTCTCAACATGGGTTTTCTCAACATGGGTTTTCGAGAGATGCCCACACTCTATCAGTGCACCTAAAGATATTCAATGTGCCTCCCTCACTCAGGTTTCATTTTTTTTTTCAGATAACTAAAATCAATAAATAAAAAATTAAAGTCTCCCTGCTTCCCCGTCCAAAGAATTTCGCGGCCGACTATTTAACATTATAATGTCAAATTCTTAAAATAAATGGAATCTAATTGAATTGCAACACGTGAAAATAACACATTTAATGGGATTTTATTGTTGTTGAAAGAGTCCAGTCTAACATTGGCCAACCGTTTTCCTGGTCCAGAGACTTATGTCTTGTAATAATCTTCGAAATTCACCCCTGTGGGGGTCTATGCTTTACCTTTGGAACGACATTGATCTCGGTAAACACTAATCGTTTCTATAGCAATGGCATCGATCGTTCAAAATTTAAATTAACACTATCCTCTAAATGCGAATTTCACAGTTAACAAAACTCAGCTATGACATGAACCCTGGTCAAATAACAACGCCCTCCAGTCTCTAATTAACACCGAACATAATAGGCACAACACCATTCCACCCCACCCCTAGGCTAAATCAAGTCAAAGAAGAAGTTTTCAGTTTTAAGAATTTTGCCATATCTACTTTTTTCCGAACCCATTGCTGCTTATTTCAACAAAAAAAATGGGGGAGGAGAAAAATTCCCTGGGGAGATGGCATTTTAAGAAAACAAGTTTAAGAAGACCAAAAATGAATTGACAGGGGGTCATGACTGAGCCAGGGCCAAGATGATTTGCCTCTGAGAGGGGCGAGGCTTTCCTGAAAGTTTCCGTTGGAAGATGCCATTTTAAATGAAACAGCTTTCTTCAAATACGAAAAGAGGTCGTGACTTATTATCGTACTCCTTCGTTTGGAAAACAGTTTTAGATAAATGAATTGCCCTGACCGTGACACATGCGTACTTTGTCAAGTGGGTAGCAAAGTGTAGATAATTTTTTTTTTAAAGCTCTTGAAGTTCTGATTTTTTCTTTTAAATATTGAAAAAATTTGAAATGGAGAGGAGAAATATTAATTTGTGTCGAAATACTTAAGATTTAAAAAATTTTCCCCTTCATTTTTTAGCTTGACTTTTAAAGCCCCCCCCCCCCAACGTCACCCCTGCCACTTTCGGTTTAGTGCCCCCTCCACTCAAAGTTGATAGTTAAATGGTTTTCCACTTCACAACTTTGGTCCCCTTAAATATCCAAACCCCATGCAAAATCAGGAGTTGCAGAGCCCAACGACGGGTCTGATGTTAGGAAATGAGTTTGAGGACACTTGTATTAATAATTCATCAAATCTTGCACTGGTTAAATTTAACACCAAACATTTTTGTCTTCATATATCGTGGTCCCCTGCGGCTACAACAATGGAGTTTTGAGATATAAGATGATTTAATCTCAACAAGACAGTTTGAGGCTGCGATATTATTTACTGTCAACAAGGCGATTTTTAATATACCATTGTGGTTTGAAGTTGAATATGACTTTCTTGTCAACAGCCAGGTGGTTTGATGTAACAAATGATGATATTGTCAATATATGTTGCGTCCAATATCCCAATTAAAATTATGTCTGTCTTAGGCCATCATCATTGGCGGATCCAGGGAAAAAATGATGGTGGGAACTAAAAGGTTTAATAAGCGGGGCTCAAATAGAAGAGTACTAAGGCTTTGAACCAATACATGCTGTCTATAGTGAACTGTAATTAAAAAGATAACCTGGTAGAGACATATCGTTGGCCAACTAAAATCTGCCACCACATACGCTAGCATATAATATGTTTATGACTTAACATTTCAATATGTCAATTATATATGCCAAATCGGATATATATCTAAAGAAATGTGGCCTACCATGGTGATATCTTGTGATAAGGTTACACTCGCCATATTTGATAACCAACGAACCATTGAAAGAACACACGTTTATTATCAAAAAATCTTACCGGCGAAACCGATGCTCCTCAGACGGCTGCTCTCCAGGGGCGGCGCCCAATGGGTCCAAAGGGATTGCATGGCGGGAGAGACGAAGCCCTATTGATGCCGAGAGACAAGGTCAATGTTTGGGTAACGTATAGGACTAATTTGCCCAGGTCCAAATACAGAATCCAGCGGCTCTATTTATAGGACCCTATTATGGATTAATCAAAGCTGACCTGTCTACTAGGCTTCTTCTCTACAATGATCTTGATCCAAGAAAAAAATATTTATTTTTGTTGAACAAAAAAAAAATAGTTACAGGTTATCTTTAAGAAATTAAAAAAAAAAAATATTATTGTAATCATTAATGTAACTAATATTCGTATGGTTATTTGACTAACATTATAGTTTGATGTTTTTGTGTAAAGTTAGCCATAGAGAGAAAACTGACAACATGTTTTCTACATATCATTTAATGTTTCATAAATTAACTTATTATTCCTAAGTGAAGAAAGCAATTTTTTTTTCACTAAAAAAATGAAGTTTGCATCCTCCCACCCCTCCCCCCCCAAAAAAAAAAATACAAAGAAAGACATGGGGCGGGGGGGTTGGGACGACAAAAAACGGTTGATTGGGATAGAGTAGATTTACAGCAAACCCAAAATTTTGTTTCAGCCTAAGGTTAGTTCATTTTAAAAGGTAACGCTTAAAAGGAACCACAGACCTGTGATGCTCCAGTGATGAACCTCAGCACCATGAGACCCTGGATGTTGGCCCTGGCCACCACTGGCACAAGGAGGGTCAGCAGAGCGGCCGCCAGCAGGGACAGTCCCATCACGTGCTTGCCGCTGTACCGGGTGGCGAGGATGCCCCCGGGCAGGTTCGTGAGGATGTAGCCCCAGAAGAGAGAGCTGTGGATAAGGCCTTGACCTTCTTTGTCCCAGATTAACTCGCCATCCTGTTCGATGAAAAAAAAGGCGGTATTTTAGTTTGTTGAACCAGTGTCATATTCTGTGCCCTCTTATGGCATGGGCACACTAGGCGCTGGCCCAGGGCCTTGCACTTCTTGGAGACTCACTCTTTTAGAGGCGTCATGCTTCACATATTGGTCATGAATATTGACAGATTTTGGCAATTTAATTTGATTGAAGGCCCAGTGGACAACACCTTTCCCATTGTAACCAATGATATTATTGGCACATTCTATTATACTAGATATCGCCCGCCAAACATTGGCGACAGCAATGCGTGAACTTCCCATGTACTAAAGTTACTTGACAAAAACGTGAGCTCAAGTTACGCACATTTAAGAATGCCAATTTTGCTACACCCCCCCCCACCCACATTTTTTTTTCATAATACGTCACTGCACACTTTTTATTTTAGCCCATGAACTCTATAAATATAGCCGACCCGCGGCTTAGCTAACGCCGCGAGCTTGTTGCAGGCAAGGGAGGGGAGGGTTTGCCTGCGTCTTGCTTGCTCTGGCGTATCTATTTATAGCCTGCGTGGTCGTCTTGGTCGTCTTGTTGTTTGCCCTACTTCTGCTGGCGAATTATATATAGATATGCGAATCACAGGTTGGATAATTTCTAAGGGAAATAACTGTCGCCAACAAGCTTTAATTTTCCCAGAAGCAAACGGTTAACTTGAGTTGTTGAAAACTTCATGAGCAGAAGGGGATTCAATCGATAAAACAACTTACGTAGCATGATGTAACAAGTTATTTTGTGTGGATGGTTTGCGGGTGACCCGGGGGGGGGGGGGCTCTTGGCGGGAGGAATTTAATGTTTTCCACCACCCTCAGAGGAGAACCCACAACGCGGTTAGAGAATTATTATTGGAAGAATCCTTCCTTAAATTATAATAACCACACGTGAAATAATTATTCAGATATTATAACATTTAATAACTTTAAGATTAACATTGTAACGAATTGTGGCCATGACATCGGGTCATGTTCATGTTATGTTAGATTAATTATATAATGATTTTTATATTGCACCCTAAACGAGAAAGTGATTTCTTGCTTATTTCAACCATTGATAAATAAATAAATAAATATATAGATATATTTATATATATTTCTTGATAGCAATGGACTTATAAATTCTTCTCAGATACACAATAACAAGAACTGAAATTTGAGCCATGCTTTGGCTTCTGTACAACAGATAGGAGTTCGATATGTGTAACAAATGCAGCATTACAACTTTAACTTCTCATTTCCGTGCCGTGCGAATCCCGAATAAATCAGAACGCTGGCTTTGACGTCGCTGTTTCATGTCATCAAAAAACAGGGTAGCCTAGTTCACAGCTAAACGAGGGCTGTCATTCTTAAACTTTTTTGTTATAAAATATTTCTGCGCAATCAATTCGCATTAGATATAAACACGAACGCTGCCTGTTTAATTGACCTCACACACATCAGCTTTATAATTATGTGCTTCAACTTTTTACCGATACGTTTCCTTCAATGCATATGTTGTACATGATATAAAGAAGAAAAAAGAAAACAAATCTCATTTGAGCCAAGAGCCCTCAAGCAAGATTGGAGTAGAACGATCATTTAAAGAAAATCTTCGTTCCAATCAAGATGGCTGGAATAAAGATGAAAAGGAAATAACAACAAACAAAAAAAAACAATAACAACAACAAAATAAAATGCAATTAAAAAGGAATGCACAATTAACACGGCGGAAGGAAAAGATTCTTTATGAAATGTTCTACACAATGTAAAATCTTAGGAATGGTTCCGACAATGAATTAGGTTATCTACTAGTTCCTGAGGTCCAATACAATTGGCTTGAGTGGGCTTTGAAGATTTTCCTTTTTACACTTCTGGCTTTGAGCATGAAACCTTGCTCTCACCACAGTTAAGGGTTGTTTGTGTGTGCAGACACCACGAAAGAGCAATGGCAATAATTATATTTGTATCAAAGGCTTCTCAACAATTTCAGTACTTCTCAATGATATCACGATACTTCTCAATGATATCACGATACTTCTCAATGATATCACGATACTTGACACAAGAACGAATAAAGCGTATTTGACTCTGTCTACTCGTTCACGTTATTCTACGAATACCAACATGAAAGAATCGAGCCCTACGAAAATGGCAGCAGACGACATGGCTTTCACCCTGGGGCCCCGACACGGAGCACGATGCTAAAAGGTTGTGACACGAAGCTATAAATAGATTTAAACAGCTTTCTACAATAGATGCGCCCCCATAAATCCCATCTGCAGAAACCCGTGCCATCGAACGTGTCGGGATTGGTCAGCCCAAACATCCGGTACAGATTCAACATGGACTTGTCTGATAAATAACGGAGGTCTGATGGCGGTGTGCCATCGTGACCACACGGGGAAATCCCACCCCCCCCCCTTTTCCAGAGTTGACGTGACACATACCTGTCATGACTGTGCAGATATCTAACAAACACAAAAAGCGGTCATTTAACTCGCGACGCCCGACTCAACATATGGCGTGTAGAAACACCGACGAGATAATGGTAAGTGGAGGGAAAACGTAGTTCCGAGACAAATTCATGCGGACCACTTGCTGGACCACTTGCTGGACCACTTGCTGGACCATTTGCTGGTACACTTGCCGGACCATTTTCTGGACCATTTGCTTGTTTGATCATTTACGAAAACTAGTTGTTTTTTTTATCTAGCAGATTTTTTGTGAGTTTAATTTTTTTTTTTTTATATTATGTTGTCACCCATCACAATACACTCCCCCAGGTCCCAACGAACAATTCACTGGACGCCGTCCCAACTTTTGATGAGATACAGACAGCGATCCGCCAAATGCCCAATGGCAAAGTACCTGGCCCCGACATGATTCCTGCCGAAATCTACAAGGAGGGTGGACCAGCGCTGACGGATAAGCTATTGCGCTTATTCCAAATCATCTGGCAGACGGAAACTGTACCACAAGACCTCAAGGATGCCTCAATTATTCACCTGTACAAACACAAAGGAAACCGCCAGGCATGCAACAATCACCGTGGAATTTCACTACTGTCCATTGCAGGCAAGATCTTGGCCCGAGCCCTTCTGAACCGCCTGAATGCACATCTGGAGCTAGCTCTCCTACCCGAAAGTCAATGCGGTTTCCGTAAAAAACGCGGAACCATCGATATGGTGTTTGCTGCCAGACAACTTCAAGAGAAATGCCAGGAACAAAATACAGACCTATATTCTACATTTATCGACTCGAATAAGGCCTTTGACAGGGTCAATAGAGGTGGCTTGTGGAAAATCGTAAAGAAATACGGATGCTCAGACAAGTTCACCAACATCATCCGTCAGCTGCATGATGGTATGATGGCCCGAGTGCAGGACAACGGTCAATCATCTCAAGCATTCCACGTCACAAACGGTGTAAAGCAGGGTTGTGTTCTTGCTCCCACACTCTTCAGTATTATGTATTCCGCAATGCTGTCTGGTGCGTTTAAGGACTCCACCACGGGTTGCCAATCCGGTTTCGTACTGATGGATCAATATTTAACCTTAGGAGGCTTCAAGCTAAAACCAAGGTCAAACATACCACGATCAACGAGCTTCTGTTTGCAGACGATTGTGCCCTCAACGCTCCCTCAGAAGCCGTCATGCAACACAGCGTTGATATCTTCTCTGAGGCCTGCAATAACTTTGGCCTCACAATCAACACAAAGAAGACTGAGGTGATGTATCAGCCAGCTCCCAGTAAGCCCTACGTTGAACCCAACATCATCATCAGTGGATGCTAGTGCCCTATTTGGCAGGCTCCGCAGCACTGTTTGGGACAGGAGAGGTATCAGTCGAGAAACAAAGCTCAAGGTCTATAGCGCAGCAGTCCTCCCGACACTGCTTTATGGATGTGAAACGTGGACAGTCTACCAGCGTCACGCCAAGAAACTGAATCATTTTCACACTACCTGCCTCAGGAATCTCCTCGACATCAGGTTGCAAGACAAAGTCCCCGACACCGAGGTCCTCGCTAGAGCGAACCTACCTAGTATCTTCACCACTGTGATGCAGTCTCAGCTCCGTTGGATGGGACACGTAGCCCGTATGGAAGACCACCGGCTCCCGAAACAATTATTCTTCGGAGAACTCACGATAGGCAAGCGCTCCCAAGGAGGTCAAAAAAAAAGCGTTGCAAAGAATCACTGAAAGTGGCACTAAAGGCCTTCAGCATAAACCCTACTCAATGGGTGCAGACAACCCAGGACAGGGCCAGGTGGAGAGCTGCTGTCAAGAAGGGAGCTAAATCCCATGAAGCTAATAGAATATCCACAGCTGAGACACGCAGGCTTGTCCGAAAGAGCAATATCAGGTCACTGTCTGAAGAAACTATTCCATGCCCACGGTGTCATAGATTATTCCGAGCAAGGATCGGTCTAGCAAGCCACCTACGAGCTCACCGTAATCCCAACCTCTCCCTAACCGGTTGATTCGATGGTCCTAGTAGACTTCGACAGACGAACAACAACAATACTCATAGTGTCATCCTCTCAAGACTACCCCATAAACTTCTTCCGAGTCTGCTACTCTGGCGGCATCCTGCTCTGGCGGCATCCTGCTCTGGCGGCATCCTGCTCTGGTGGCATCCTGCTCTGGTGGCAACTTGCTCTGGTGGCATCCTGCTCTGGCGGCATCCTGCTCTGGCGGCATCCTGCTCTGGTGGCATCCTGCTCTGGTGGCATCCTGCTCTGGTGGCATCCTGCTCTGGCAGCATCCTGCTCTGGTGGCAACTTGCTATGGTGGCATCCTGCTCTGGCGGCATCCTGCTCTGGTGGCATCCTGCTCTGGTGGCATCCTGTTCTAGGAGCGCCCTGTTCTGGTTGTCCATTTTCTAGTTGCACCCGGCTCTGGTGACACCCTACTTTAATGACATTCAAATCTATTTGGTATAAAACCTCTGGGAAAAAAAAAGGGGGGGGGGTGCGGTTGTCACGCCCTGCGGTCGACACTCGACACCACAAATCCCCCTCGTGACGCTAATGCGTAAAATAATAATGTAATATCGGTATCTCATAACTCGCAATTTCCTAAAGTAAATGTTGACGCATATCTCTTGCTTTGTAGCAGTGGTTCTCAAACGTTTTCCGGCCAGACCACCCTTGGGCCAATAAACCCTCCCTGACCGCCACCCTGTCGAACCCAATCTTAAGCATTCTAAGACGTTTTTCACGACTCTCTTTTAAACATAATTTGATACCGACGTGACACACTATAACATATATTTGAACATGAATCGATGTACAAATGCATCTTTATGTTATTGATTCAATTATAAGGTGAAGGATTTCATCAAGCTTTTCCTTAATAAGTTAATTACGTAGCAAGAGTTTTTCATACCTGTCGGGTTAAATCTACATTCACCTGCCACCAAATACAATGATACGAATGCAATCAGAGGCATTCCACTGTGGATGATATGACAACAAATGTGTCTTAGTATAGGAAAACTTTCCTACCAATCTTTAACTTTGATTTCAAACATTTGTTCTACAACAACGGCATTAATCAGGAAATATGATATTAACCCAATCGGTGACTTCCGTGGCGAGAAAATTCTCGAATCGCTGTACCTGACAATCATTTTGAAAATAAACTCTTTATCTTCTAGCTCTTGATGACTTGTAAACTAGGACAAATCGCGTCTGTTTTATTTTGAGTTTGAATAGAGCTACCATCTTTATTCCAAAGTAAGGAAACCAGTTTGATTTTTTTTTTGTAAGTCAGGTCTCATCACATTGCAACTGAAAAGTTATCAAAATCAGTGTCATGAGTGATGTCTTTAGAGCCAGCACAATGAAAAGCTATGTCGTGTGGAATGTCTATGGAGCCATTACGATGAGAGCATCAATTTCTACTGCAGCGCTTCCAACACAGAGCGTTGGGAATAGTCAGTCAGTTTCAGCGTGTTCGTAAAATTAATGTACTGAGTTACGAAGGGCACTGACGTTTTTAGCTACCGGTTGCTGGCGATCAATGACGTCATGAATAATACAGAACATCTGCCCTGATTTATTTCCTCTCGCATGTGCAATGACGAACGGTTGAAACCAGTCATTGGTGGTGCTCCATCAATTGCAATAAAAATCCTTTTTAGTGGAATATTTCTTAACTGACAAAATTGATTTAAAATACAAAATAATTTTTTTTCGTCATCTTGATTTCCTCCTTTTAAAATAATACACTAGCGATAAGCAAAGATTCATTTTCTTGAAAGTCAATTCATCCAGTAGAAGTGTCAGCCCCGTTTCATGTGCTATGCTACACAACTACACGACACATGTTCAGCCTTCCGTCAACGAAGGTGCAAGCTATCTTAAAGGTGGTAGGGTGAATAGATCACTGATTGTTGGTAACTTTTCCGATCAATCAACAATAAAATGTGATATCATAAGATGCACGCAAGCAACATGATATAAAACCAATAAATAAATAAAATCGTAGTAAATCATTCTTGTTAGTGTGCGGCTCATTTGTAAAGAGTCCATTTAAGACTACAAGTCCAAGTGTTTTCCGCTCATAGCACTTACCTGAATGTAAATGTTTTGTTAATGAACTCTGGAACATCTTTTTAAATATTATATCCTAAAGTCTTTTCTCTTCTTCGTGGGGCAAACAAAAATAAATCATTAACTCCTGCTTGTCACCGCCAATCAAAACCGTTGCCTAAACCTTCTTTGAAATGTAATAATTGAATTAGTCAACGGCTTCCAAATGAAATGCCTACCGCCTCCTTTAATGGTACCAGCGCCCCCTTAAAAATTTGCTAAGCCTTTCAACGCCCCTCTCCTTGACAACCCCTCACCGTCTACTGAGGGCGGTACCGCCTTCTTTGAGATCCACTGCTTTAGATCTTTGCATGATTTATTTGGGGGGTGTCCCATTCCATATTACTCTTAACCATTAGAAAATATTGACTCTAAAATATAGCCCGCATTTCTAAAGCCAAAAACATACAATTATAGTTTGACACATTTCAGAATTCTCTAAATACTAACTACAAAGTTAGGTGACCGTTATAAATTATAGAAAAGGCATTCCAGTGGATTGAAGGATAAGACCGTTCCTTGTGTGATGGTGACAATGTGTTGGTGAGTCATAAGGGAAAACTTCATTAAAACTCTTATAAAATTGACCCTGTTAAGGCTTAGAACCATGTACTTAAATGTTTAGCGAGGAAATTTAAAATTTTAATTGTTAAATTTTAAGTTCCTAAAGGTTATGTGGCGGCATTTTACTCTTCCAAGATGTCTAACTCGAGCAATACATGGTCGACTCGGAAAAATCCAGGACATTTCTGAAAACAGTTCTTTTTTGAAAAAAAAGACATACAGATTAGGGCATGTTTTATGTCAGCAATTATTAGTTTTCAAAGTTACTAATGTATGGACTAACTGTCAAGACTTCAAGAACAGATGTATTTAATCATAGATTTATATTCCCATAACACTTTTTAAAAAAACTGTCTATGGACTAATGGTCTGATTTAACTAACGCTTATACACCTATAACAAACAAAATTTAAAAAAAAAATTGTTTTAAACTTTCATTTTAAAATTAAACACTATTTACATTTTTACTTTGACTCTTAAGATTTCAATGCAATACAACTTTCTAATCCCAAACCAAGCCCTGATACCTAAATCAAGTAGCATTGCAAATTATAAATAATTAATGGATGACAATCCAGAGAGGTATAAGGTAACGGGTTCTTTATGATCAAAGGCAACCGTGGCAACCCTGTCAACAATCAGAAACCAACTTTCACGGCTTTAAAAAAAAAAATTGTATTCTGATGGAAATGGGTGGGGTTAGTCCTAAATCTTTTCCCTAGTTTCTGATAAGTTTTCTGGCCCTGTCCCTTTCAGTTGCTTCCAGGATTTACCCATTGCCTGGTCTTGGCAGACCTAATTTAATCTATTCAAAGAAAACTTAAACCCCAAAACTCCGAGTTCAAGTTTCAGATTTTGTATATTATCAAGTATCTGCGTTTGGCCCAAACCTCTTCGTCTGAGTACGACGCAAGACTTGAATTCCATGGATCCGCGTTGAGCTCGCAAGATGCCGCGGTTCCTCTCTGATGAATCGCATTAGTGGTGTTGTTGGTGGCGTCGTGGTGACGTATGGCCGTGTGGTTGACCATGCAGACGATGGCTATGCTCATGTTGACCCGCAGGCTGTAGAAGTTGAGAAATCCCAAAAAGGCGAAGATCGCCATGGACAATCTGGCCGAGTTCCATAACGGCGTCGCTGAACAAAAAAGATACGATGAGATAATATTCAATAGTATTCATCCAAATCAATGGAAATGTACTTCATTAACATTTCACGTATTCATTTTAAAAATATGGATACCATTTCTGGTGAAGACAACAATTAATTTTAATTAGAACAATTTGAAACGTCTGATATTTAAAATATTTCTCCAGCTAAAAAAAAATCCCCCCCCCCCTCATGAAACTTCACTACCCTGTTCATGCCTGATCCCCCCCCCCCTCATGAAACTTCACTACCCTGTTCATGCCTGTATTCACTTCAGAAGTGGTTGGGGGGGGGTAGGGGGGCGCACACTGGTCATTTCTCACAGATTTTAGAACAATAAAAATCATGGTATGATTAATGGGCTAAGAATATGACCATCAGTATTCACTAGTAGCTTTTCCATAGCACACTGTTAACTGGACCTTTAAAACGGCTCTTAAACCATTAAAAAAATGTGTCAGAAAATTTCAATTTGTCATCATATATTTAGGCACATAACAAGGTACAGTACATATACAGGATTAGGCACTTGACTTCAAAGAAATCTGAATTAGAACCGAGATCATAAAGAAGGCTACGAATAGATGAAATAGGCTGAGCCAGTAGACATATTTTTGCCCGTTTTTATCTTTGCACAATTTCCGACTATTAGGGCACATGCCGTTCACAGATTCTTTTAATATTCTATGGAGATGATGGTCATCTCATTCCATGCCTTGCCCTTTCTCTCTCTCTCTCTCTCTCTCTCTCTCTCTCTCTTTTAAGCAAAGAAAAAAGAAATACATTTCAAAAGACTCCTCGCATCCATGACGACATATATAGACATTAAAAAAAGGCAACATGGCAAAAAAAAAAAAAAAAAAATAAAAAAAAAAAAAAGAAGATTTATAGTGTATTCAATGCATTGAACCAAGCTCCAATCTATTTTTTAGAGAAAAAAAATATATGCGAAGTTGTGAGCCGCATTTTTCGGTGCCCCCCCCCCCCCCCCCCCCCCAAACTTCAACCTCCCCTCCCAGTTCAGATAAAATAAAACTACCTTTGTAAAACATGAAATAAATGAGTGTTCACGTGTCCTCTTCATTCTTCCCCCTTTCCTTCCGTAAACATTCATTCCCCCCTCCTCCCCCCTGTCGGCATGTCCGAGGTTTGAGGGTGTGCACTGAGTCGTTATGTCAACAAAACTTCTACAACGGCCATTCAAGATCCATTCACTGGCTTGGGATTTTATGGATATTTTTAAGAAGCCAATTAATATTTTGAGTGCAGACAGAGAGACAAGACCTTGGCATCAGCTTAGTGTGGACGATCTAATACCCAAAGAACAGTGAACACCATAGCAGGCTTTGTCACCTTGGGGTAAAGGTTGCGTGGCGCAATCAAGAAATACAATATTAAGAATAAAAAAAAAACACCCACCCCAAGGGCCACCTCTGGCAATGTAAAACAAAAGTAATCTTGTTCCAATGCCACTAACTGGATGCAGTGCTATCACTACCAACGTTTCATGGCCTCCGTATGAAGAGAGCGAGTCCCAACCTACCGTCTGCTCTTTGCCGAGTAGGGAAATTCACCAGTAGTTGTTGCACACCTAAAATTGTGTTTTATTGTGCGCGGTGTGTCTTGTGTGATATTCTAGTTAATGAACGCTTTTGGCGCCACAAAGCTTGTGACGTAATCTGACAAGTTATTATTGTCACTGTGACGTAGTGTTTCTAGTCTGTCTTTTGTGTAGGTGCTACAGCTGGGTGTCAGAGCTTGGTTGGAGCAGGTTGTACTATATTTTTCTACTTATAGCGAGCTGCGCTATCCATGTGTTTCATTCATTGTACAGTTTGATATATATTAATATATCAAAGCCTACATCTTGCCACAGGTTCATTTTCAAGTTGAGCTAAAGTGTCGACCACTCCCGTCCTCCGTTATTAGTTTTGACATTGACGACACTGAGTAAATGTGCTGTGTCACTCCTTACCCAACCCTCCCTTGATTGGGAAAGGGTTGTTTGCGTTCAAATACCTACTTTTTGTTCCGAAGAATGCCATTAGGTGACGCCATTTCTAGAATTTCTTTACTAGATCGTTCTGATTTAATATCTATATGTAGGCCGGCAGCTTTGCTAGTCGGGAGAAAGATTTTTGCCGTATCTCCTAACACATACGAGTCGTTCTATAATGGCAAGAGATAACTCATAATGCGTGTGTGTAAATTATTATTTACATTTTTCGAGGAGTGTAACTTTACATGGCTCTTGGAAAAAAGAGTTCAGTTCGGTGTGATGCCCACGCATGCACGTGACAAATAATTTGATGCAAGAAACCAATAACTAGGGATCGCGACACTCGTAACCCTCGCCATAGAAGAGATCGCTTGAATAAACACTTAGGAAGATCTGAATTAATAACGGTTACGTGACACACAAAAATGAGAGATTAGAGCTTAGAGAGAAACAAAAATCACCGATGTTTTCAACGAAATGGAACTTATTGTTTAAAAGTGAAAACAACATAATAAAATAATATCAAGTTGCTCATTAAGAATTCGATGGAATTCAAAATAAATTGTTTGTCAGCAGCTGCTTTTGTTTACCACTTTATGGTTGGAAGAGAGAGAAAATAAGTATTATATCTTTAAAAGAAAATTCTGGCTGTAACAAAATTTACAGATTAACGTACGGAAATCGTTCTTCGCTTGCGTGAGTACACAAATGGCATTGATTTATTAAAGGATGGATATCATATTACAGAACAATCCATTTTAAAGGATTTTTTAAACATACATTTTTCAGACCCAAAACATTAAGTAAAATCCTTTACATGATTGCATTCATCAATCCTTGTTGTTGAAAGGGTGCCATGAACTAGAGCGTTGACCTTGACTTGTGTATACATCATTTATAACAAAATCTTTTTATAAGATTAATTCTAGAATATTGTTATATTTTCAAAATGTTTCTGTCACAGATCAAATATTTAGATATCAATTTTGTTTCTGAAAATAATGTATTGTTTTGTTAAGTAGAAATAACAGGAAGTTAAGGAATGATGGGATGGATGAAAATGTACAGTGACGGTTGGAGATTTTGTCATTAGCACTTGCTACGATCCTTTAGTTATCAAACAGCATCTTAATGTTGATTGTGAAATGGAAGAAGTTATATGAAGAATTATATTTTACTCTGATCTACAGAGATATTATTTTATTATGTGTTCGTTGATCAGTAAATAAACGTCGTGGTGCCATGTCAAGAAGTTCTCTGGTACTTGTTTGGATAAACATGGACGTATAAATGTGGATGAATAGTGTCAGCGATAACTACAAATCTATACAAGTAACATCATAACCCACTCATATATGATGTGTTACAGTTTCTGTATGAAATATTCCCCGAGACCAAGTCAAGTGACGGGTCTTCCATTTTGGCTAGACTTTAAATAATCGGACCAATGTTTTCGTTCTCCAATAAATGAGTGCTAAGGAAGAACAGTGTTATTCAACTGCACTATTCCATAATGGCATCTCTATCTACATCAATATCCCACGTTCCACTGACCTACATTTCGATATCGGGAACAGGGGACCTGTTGACATTGTTGTTGTTCTTTTATCATAAAAATATGATCCCAACTTGTCAATTTAGATCGCAAATTTAGGTAAAGGAGTACATTATTTCTGAATTTAATTACATCATGTTAACGGTAAAAAAAAACAACAAAAAAACTCTACCATTTTACTGAATAGCATCAAAGCATTCACGGATGAAATCAGTTATAATTACAAATCCTGAACGCTATTTTAAATAGTTGGTCCCTGCAAAATGTGGTTTCCTGTAACAGTAATGGCAATCTGAAGTTGTATGGACGGTGGCCCACTTTGTAGTTCAGGCGTCCCTTTTAAATCGTGACAGCGGAGCAACCCGATATTTTTTACGACACACTAAACGATGCCACTCAGATTACCCGGAAATTCTACCCTCTAAACTAAAACAATTACTGGAGCTACATAGCCGAGCACAAGCAGTGGCGTAGCTAGGATTAGTGCTAACGGGGGCCGGCCACGATTTTAGCCATCCCTTCTTTTACCACGGAAGAACTCTGCAGTTGGCCGAAAATGCCACCCATCCATATAAAGAAAGAAAGTGCCATCTGTGGTGGGAGGGGGGAGGGGGATAGCCCCTTACGCATCCTCCTTACTACGCCCCTGCACTGAAGTTATTGCTATGAGATTTCAGCTTGAAATATCCAGCTGTTAGCTAATCTTTCACAGCAAGACAAAACACTAAATACGCTTGAGCGAGGGAGACACAACTTTTGAGTGACCAGTGACGTAGCCAGGGCTAGTGCCACCCGGGGCCTTCCCAAAATGTTGCCATCCGGTCCACGAAAAAAAAAACAACCCAGCAGTAGGCCAAAAATGGCATGCCTCGATTCAAAGAAAAAAAGCGCCATCTTGTGCGGACCGCCTCCTGCCCACCGGCTTTTACGCCGCAGAGTGACAATTTCAGTTATTGAAAAAAAAATTAATACAATGACCCTTCCCTGTCATCCCCTCGCCTCCTCTCCCCCCCCCCAACCTAACTTTTAATACCAAGATTGATATCTGAAACCAGTCGAAGATATTGAGTCGATGAAACACACGTTCAATAATAACACAGTTTTGATAGAAAACTAAATTTGGAGTGAGCAAACAAAACACGAAAAAGCCAGTGTTGGCGTGCAGCGTATCCAAAGAATTCAGCAGCCCTGTAATCTACTGTACAACACACATAATATAGTTTAAGTATAAGCTATACGGTTAATGAACCCGTCATTAATATACACTAGGCGAAATATGTGGGGAGTTGTAAATTCTAAGGGTAAACACTGTCGTCCCCCCCCCAACCCAAGAACACTTCAAGTTAATAACCTGAACATGCAATCCTTTCATTTATTGAGAACTTCTTCACTAACAAACCTCAGCATTTAAAAAAAAAAAAAAAAAAAAAATTGTATAGGCGTGGGGGATTTCAAAATTGCATCTCCTGTTGGACGTAAAAGAATGATAATTTAATATGCATATATTTCATAGTTAATAACCTGAACATGCAATCCTTTCAATTAATGAAAAATTCTTCACTAACAAACCCCAGCATTTAAAAAAAAAAAAAAAAAAAAAAATTGTATAGGCGTGGGGGATTTCAAAATTGCATCTCCTGTTGGACGTAAAAGAATGATAATTTAATATGCATTTATTTCATGATTTGTTGTTTGGGGAACAATTTCAACATTCAGTCAAAACGTGTCTAAGGAAATACACCTAATTTGATTGAAGAGATTTTGTATAGCGTTAGCTCATGTTATATACATCAGCCCACATTCCACAGCCCACAACGATCATCACGCAGCCCTCAGCCAATAGCCCACACCCCTCAACTCTCTGCCTAAACAACTCACCCCTCAGCTCTCTGCCTAAACAACCCACCCCTCATCTCTCTGCCTAAACAACTCACCCCTCATCTCTCTGCCTAAACAACCCACCCCTCATCTCTCTGCCTGCACAACCCACCCCTCAGCTCTCTGCCTACACAACCCACCCCTCAGCTCTCTGCCTACACAACCCACCCCACAGCTCTCTGTGGTAATGGTATGTACACATTGCTTCACTAGCCTAGTTGAACGTGGTAATGTCATGTACAAATTGCTTCACTAGCCTAGTTGAAAGTGGTAATGTTATGTACACATTGCGTCACTAGCCTAGTTGAAAGTGGTAATGTTATGTACACATTGTTTCACTAGCCTATTTGAACGTGGTAATGTCATGTACACATTGGTTCACTAGCCTAGTTGATCGTGTTAATGTCATGTACACATTGCTTCACTGGCCTAGTTGAAAGTGGTAATGTTATGGACACATTGCTTCACTAGCCTAGTTGAAAGTGGTAATGTTATGTACACATTGCTTCACTAGCCTAATTGAACGTGCTAATGTTATGTACACATTGCTTCACTAGCCTAGTTGAAAGTGGTAATGTTATGTACACATTGGTTCACTAGCCTAGTTGAAAGTGGTAATGTTATGTACACATTGGTTCACTAGCCTAGTTGAAAGTGGTAATGTTATGTACAGATTTCTTCACTAGCCTAGTTGAAAGTGGTAATGTGATGTACACATTGCTTCACTAGCATAGTTGAAAGTGGTAATGTTATGTACACATTGCTTCACTAGCCCAATTGAAAGTGGTAATGTTATGTACACATTGCTTCACTAGCCTAGTTGAAAGTGGTAATGTTATGTACAGATTGCTTCACTGGCCTAATTGAAAGTGGTAATGTTATGTACACATTGCTTCACTAGCCTAGGTTTCCTGACCATTGGACTTTTAAAATAATTGTGTGAATAATATGGCCATAAACCCTCCAATCATAAGATTTTCCAATCCTCCAAATTAACAAATATTGCCAACCCTTTCATCATTTCTGATTCAACACTCCGAAATCCACTGTTTACAACCACGAAATTTCTTAAAACCTCCAATCACCAAATATTTCCAACCCTCCAATCACCAAATATTTCCAACCCTCAAATCACAAAACGTTTTAAACCCTCCAATCAACAAATATTTCCAACCCTCCAATCACAAAATATTTCCAACCCTCCAATCACCAAATATTTCCAATTTTCCAATGTCCAAATATTTATAAACTTCAAATTACCAAATTTTCCATTCTTCCAATCACCAAATATTTCAAACCCTCCAATCACAAAACGTTTTCAACCCTCAAATCACCAAATTTTTCCAACCTTCCAATCACCAAATATTTCCAACCCTCCAATCACCAAATATTTCCAACTTTCCAATGTCCAAATATTTCTAAACTTCAAATCACCAAATATTTCCAACCCTCCAATCACAAAACGTTTCCAACCCTCCAATCACCAAATATTTCCAATTTTCCAATGTCCAAATATTTATAAACTTCAAATTACCAAATTTTCCATTCTTCCAATCACCAAATATTTCAAACCCTCCAATCACAAAACGTTTTCAACCCTCAAATCACCAAATTTTTCCAACCTTCCAATCACCAAATATTTCCAACCCTCCAATCACCAAATATTTCCAACCTTCTAATGTCCAAATATTTCTAAACTTCAATTCACCAAATATTTTCAACCCTCAAATAACCAAATATTTTCATCCTTCCAATCCCAAAATGTTTCCAACCTCCCAATCATCAAATATTTCCAACTTTCCAATGACCAACTATTTCTAAACTTCAAATTACCAAATTTTTCCATTCTTCCAATCACCAAATATTTCCAACTTTCCAATGTCCAAATATTTCTAAACTTCAAATCACCAAATATTTCCAAACCTCCAATCACAAAACGTTTTCAACCCTCAAATCAACAAATATTTCCAACCCTCCAATTACCAAATATTTCCAACCCTTCAATCAACAAATATTTCCAACTTTCCAATGACCAAATATTTCTATACTTCAAATCACCAAATATTTCCAACCATCAAATCACCAAATATTTCCAACCCTCCAATCAGCAAATATTTCCAACCCTCAAATCACCAAATATTTCCAACCCTCCAATCACCAAATATGTCCAACCTTCCAATCACCAAATATTTCCAACCTTCCAATCACCAAATATCCCCAACCCTCCAATCAACAAATATTTGTAACCTTCAAATCACCCCATGTTTCGAACCCTCCAATCATAAAATGTTTCCACCTCACTCCAACCCCCCCCCCCCCCCATCCTCTCTTCATGCCAAAAAAACTGTTGGACACACGAGTACTTAAATATTTCACTGACTTCTGCTCATTTGTTAGTTGTTTTTTTTATGAACAAATTATGAAACATATTAAAGATTTAGCTTCAATTTTTCAGCTTATTTTTAAGCCACTTAAAATCTACATAACCTCTTTGAAACTAAACATTACATTTAGAATCCTTACACCAGATTAAAAGTAATGACTGGTGTTTCCAGAGTTTATTAAATGTTTGGGAAAAAAAAGATTACTTGATGTCATAATTCAAACTCTCTATTCTAAATTTTTTAAATAAGAAACAAACATTTGTTGGACGTCATTCGTTGGAAATAGTTATAAAATAAATCTCACTTTCGATCTGCTTAAACGTTTTTTGAAACTGTCTGGAGTTTTTGTGATGATCTTGTAAATAAATATTTGGGGATTTAAAATTCAATTATTGCAACAACAACAAAAAAAAAAAACTTAAAAAGAAATTACAATTTAAATACAAAATAAATATGAAATATCCTATCAGCAATTCGATCCCGCTGACCGCGCGACATTTTCAGGAAATTTGTTTTTATGCAAGATAAATGTATCATGTTTCTTTTCATGGCGGTGTATTCGATTACATGTCTCATGTTTCTTTTTATGGCGGTGTATTCGATTAAATATCTCATGTTTCTTTTCATGGCGGTGTATTCGATTAAATGTGTCATGTTGCTTTTCATGGCGGTGTATTCGATTAAATGTCTCATGTTTCTTTTCATGGCGGTGTATTCGATTACATGCGCAACGATGGGAGTCCTTATACAATTATGCACGTCTAAAATATCCGTGTTTTTAAGTCATACGTACAACTATAGCGGCATGAGACTTATCAGAGCAACAAGGGATACAACAATGCAGTATTAGAGCCATCAGAACAATGCAGTATTAGAGCCATCAGAACAATGCAGTATTAGAGCCATCAGAACAATGCAGTATTAGAGCCATCAGAACAATGCAGTATTAGAGCCATCAGAACAATGCAATATTAGAGCCATCAGAACAATGCAGTATTAGAGCCATCAGAACAATGCAGTATTAGAGCCATCAGAACAATGCAGTATTAGAGCCATCAGAACAATGCAGTATTAGAGCCATCAGAACAAAGCAATAAATCAACAGCAGTGTTGGAACCTAAAGTAGAGCAAATGTAAAAAAGAAATCGTATTGAATAAGCCGGTATTTTAATAATGCTAGACAGCAATATCATGTGCAGTGTCAGAGTCGTCTGTCAAAGAGGATCAATCACGATCTCGTTAGGATTTAAAAGGCAATCATTATATTGTAGTTTTCTTTTTACATTTATGTTCTAAGTATTTGTTATTCACACTGTATGGCAACATTCACAATCATCATCGTATGGCAACATTCACAATCATCATCGTATGGCAACATTCACAATCAAAATTGTATGGCAACATTCACAATCATCATCGTATGGCAACATACCCTTACATAAATGTATGGCAACATACACAATCATATTTGTATGGCAACATTCACAATCACAACTGTATGACAAAATGTACAATGATATTTGTATGGCAATATTCACATTAATTGGACTTTTGAAAGCCCTTGTATGGTAGCATTACTTTGATGGCTTGATAAAAAAACGATTACACGCATTTCACACGAGCGAAGACATCACGCAACTTCGTGACATAATCGAATATGACACGTGTCGTCTTTGCATTAGCTTCTATGCTACCAGCAGCGGGTCTGCGCAAGGTCTTTGCAACCTGTCACATGTCTCTAGATTTAAAAAAAAAAAAAATTCAAATATTCTTAACGCCCCAGAAAAGCTCCCTTGATCCGCACAAAGTATACAAACTCTTTGGTTTTTTTAATCAGTCAAATAATCACTTACCAGTGAGTCTCAAGTTCCTTGTATTTCTTTTCTTATTTCTTATATTTTAAATATTTCCATATTTTTTTTACTCGATTAAATCGTATTTTTCCACAGTATTGATACGTAAATTCGTTAGAACACGTGATCGTTGTGGCCAATGGCCAACTACTGGCCATAGCGTAAACGGCCAACGCCATACACTTACATTTCAAAACTGTTTTCTATTCCTTCTTCTTTCTTCATTTGTCCTTATTGCTGAAAAAGATTCTTAGCCGAAACGTTATCCTTCTATTGTCCTGTCTTTGTGTTTCAAGCTTCCTCTTTGTTTCACTATTGCCTTCCCACAGCTTGAGAGCAGTCCTTCATTTATTATACTTGTTCTTTGAGTAGCTACGCTCTTGAATTGTATAAGATCTCTAAATGTATTCGGGACTTGCTACTTCACATTAACATAGTGTAGGAATTTAAAAAAAAAAAAAAATTAATTCAAATAGCTCTGGTCATGGGGTTAGTGGGGGTGGGTGATGATAGGGGATTGATTGGCTTCAAGTGCCAGGACGATTGTCTTCTTAAGACAGAGAGTCTTGCATCATTGCATTCACGATAAAGACTACTTTCCAAACGGCTCCATGTGTCATTCAAATTCTGGATCATCTGGCTGGGACAGTGAAGGGACGAGAACTTTTTGTTTGTTTCTAAACAATTTTTTTAATGCGGCAGGGTGGTTTTAAACGGTTGCTGTCTGATCTGGTGTAGAGAGTGTATACTCTCGTTCTACTCCTCGGGAGGTCATGCTGGTGCATGTAAAAGGAGGTCAAGAGCATCGCTTTTTCCCCCGTACATGATGACAGAAAAGTTGACGTCACTCCCAGTCATGTGGCGTGCTCAATCAACGCTATAACTCTACTTCGCTGTGCCGTTATTTACTATCACGACCGTAAATGTACATCAATACATCAATTACCATTTACATTATTAAAAAAAATTATATTAGTTCAAAAGTTATACATGCAATTTTCGTCTATCTTTGAAAAACAAAATCTGGATGAGATGCATTTTTCTCCGAGATTTCAAATATATTAACCTGTTTAAAAATGGCGTCCAGAAGTTGAAACAATAAAGACACAGAATTTGCTCATATGAACTAGAACAGAATGGGGAGATGAACAATAAAATGTACCAGTTTCCCAGACCCCAGCCGTATATAACAGCAAACAAAGCACAGCGTCATTTCATCTTAAAACACAAAGTCTTAAAACAGAGGGCCATTACGTCTTAAAACACAGAGCCATTACGTCTTAAAACACAGAGCCATTACGTCTTAAAACACAGAGCCATTACGTCTTAAAACACAGAGCCATTACGTCTTAAAAGACAGAGCCATTACGTCTTAAAACACAGAGCCATTACGTCTTAAAACAATGAGCCATTAAATCTTAATACAGCTCTCATCCTGTTTATTTGTTTACCTACCACGTCCATTTATCACAAGACAGTTTAATCACCCGAGTGTCCCCATCAGACAATTAAGCAGCAAGCAACACGCCAATCTCCGTATAAAACGGTAAGTGCATGACCCTTACAACTAGGTCACCATAAATAAATCTGGAGTTTCAATGACCTGGAAATTTTAAGTATGTTTATGAGGGCGCGCGAACTCGCGCGATAAATTCAATTAGACGGGATTTCAAGCTTCAATCGGTTCATTAGGTCTATTGAAGACATGCGTTGGGAGAGATGGCATTTCGCCATCTAAAGCAAGTCTAAGTCAAAAATTTCAGCCGTTTAAAGCTGGAAGATAATGTGCAATTTAGATAGTTTTGAAAGGACGTGACGAAGATAAGTGTACATTAGGCAATAATAATTTTAAAGTATTAATGTGTCTTCCCTAAAGAAACAATTTGAGTGGATGTAATGTGACCCGCCGAACTTAAGCTGTGGTCCACGAAACCAGTTTGAGAGTTAACATATCTCATTAGGGATTAGGGATTTTGTCAACTGTGCCACTCAGTGGAGCATCTTGGGATTGTTCTGAGGGGGTGGGGGGACATTTCAGGTTTTAGGATGGGGAGTTCATCTATAAACGCAAAAGGTAGACTTTAAGACCCACAAGACGTCTCTTAGCTTGGTTGTGTGTTTTACTGTTAAATGACCAATTAAACAACTTCTGTTAAACACACTTCCCTACTTTTAAATTTGATCGCATTTTATTTTAGAAATATATCATGTAAACAAACTGCCAATATTTAATACTTTGCTACGATAAGATTCTTTTATTGATCCAACGGAAATGGCTTTTGATTATGCTGTACATATTCATTTTCAGCGCATGGATTCATGGGCGCCAGCAGAAAACTTTCTAGGGGGGGGGGGGGCAAAAAAAACTGTTAAATTTCCAGGGGGGGGGGAAAAAAATTTTTTATTTCTCTTTATTTTCTCTTTACTTTAATACATTTTTTGTCTTTTTTTGTCTAAAAAATTTTTATCCAATCAACCCCGGGGAGGTCAAGTGCCCCCCTTGCCCCCCCCCCCCCCGCGGGCGCCCATGCATGGATTTTTATTTTTAGGAAGGATCATTTAATTAAAATATTATAATAACAGGTCTGTACATCCCAGGGAATCAAGAAGATTTCAGACGTTAAGAATCGACAACTTGAAGATTGGCCTTAAATAATCAGATCATCAAATATCGACCACGGATGTCACTAATTTTAATCGCTGACAGTAAAGCCCGCCATTCTTAACATGTGGGCCTCTGTCAGTGAGGGTGAGAATAGCATTTCCTTCGAAATATTTTTTAGATACTAAAAAACTTTTTCTAAGAAATCTGACGAGCGTATCTGACGAGGGTTCCATGGAAAACATAGATAACAAAAGGTTAAGACCTCTGTCAAACACCAAAACACAATATCGTTCGTTTGAATAAAACGATACCACACCAAGGCCACTAACATCTACTAATATTTACAAGTACATGACAAAAAAAAACAACATCTAAAGAGAGTTACAGATAAATGACCACTAACATCTATTGATAGTTACAGATACATTAGTCTATCCTGAATACATACAAAAATCTCAAGGTCAGTCTAGGGAGGTGCCGTCGAGTGCGCCCCGAAAACCCTTGTCTCCATGACGTCACTGTGGTATGCTGAGGAGTGGGTGGGGGTGGGGGCGGCTGCACGGATGACACCCTCACATTGAGATGACATCCAGTGGAAAGGTGTAAATTTTGCTAAGCTCCAGTTTGTGTCATAACATATCTAGGTCAAATAAATCATGGCTCCATTTTTTATTGAGAATCAGTTTATAAATATTTTGGAAGATCGTGTCAATTAGATGTTGATCACAGCTGCCCACCTGACCTATGACACACTGATCGAATGTCTGAGGTGATCAGATTAATTAAAATGCATTATGTGAAAGTTAAAGCGATGGCGGTGTTGCCAACAATTTTCCTCTCGAATAAAAAAAAAACGAATCGAACGGCCCTGTAAGTGATGATCTTAGTTCTGACATTCTAAAGGCCCTGTAAGTGATGATCTTAGTTATGACATTCTAAAGGCCCTGTAAGTGATGATCTTAGTTCTAACATTCTAAAGGCCCTGTAAGTGATGATCTTAGTTCTGACATTCTAAAGGCCCTGCAAGTGATAATCTTAGTTCTGACATTCTAAAGGCCCTGGAAGTGATAATCTTAGTTCTGACATTCTACAGGCCCTGTAAGTGAAAATCTTAGTTCTGACATGCTCATGGCCCTGTAAAGTGATGATCTTAGTTCTAACATTCTAAAGGCCCTGTAAGTGAAGATCTTAGTTCTGACATTCTTAAGGCATTGTAAAGTGATGATATTAGTTATGGCATTATAAAGGTACAATAACGTGATGATATTAGTTCTTACATTCTAAAGGCCCTGTAAGTGATGATCTTAGTTCTGACATTCTTAAGGCGTTGTAAAGTGATGATCTTAGTTCTGGCATTATTAAGGTACAATAACGTGATGACATTAGTTCTGACATTCTAAAGGCCCTGTAAATTGATGATCTTATGTTTGACATTCTAAAGGCCATGTAAGTGAAGATCTTAGTTCTGACATTCTTAAGGCATTGTAAAGTGATGATCTTAGTTCTGGCATTATTAAGGTACAATAACGTGATGACATTAGTTCTTACATTCTAAAGGCCCTGTAAGTGATGATCTTAGTTCTGACATTCTTAAGGCGTTGTAAAGTGATGATCTTAGTTCTGGCATTATTAAGGTACAATAACGTGATGACATTAGTTCTGACATTCTAAAGGCCCTGTAAATTGATGATCTTATGTTTGACATTCTAAAGGCCCTGTAAGTGAAGATCTTAGTTCTGACATTCTTAAGGCATTGTAAATTGATGATCTTAGTTCTGGCATTATTAAGGTAGAATAACAAGATGACATTAGTCCTTACATTCTAAAGGCCCTGTAAGTGATGGTCTTACTTCTGACATTCTTAAGGCATTGTAAAGTGATGATCTTTGATCTGGCATTATTAAGGTACAATAATGTGATGACATTAGTTCTGACAGTCTAAAGGCCCTGAAGGTGATGATCTTAGTTCTGACATTCTTAAGGCATTGTAAAGTGATGATCTTAGTTCTGGCATTATTAAGGTACAATAACGTGATGACATTAGTCCTTACATTCTAAAGGCCCTGTAAATGGATGATCTTAGTTCTGACATTCTAAATGCCCTGTAAGTGGTGATCTTAGTTCTGACATTCTTAAGGCATTGTAAAGTGATAATCTTATTTCTGACATTCTAAAGGCCCTGTAAAGTGATGATCTTAGTTCTGACATTCTAAAGGCCCTGTAAAGCGATGATCTTAGTTCAGACATTCTTAAGGCATTGTAAAGTGATGATCTTAGTTCTGACATTCTAAAGGCTCTGTAAAGTGATGATCTTAGTTCTGACATTCTAAAGGCCCTGTGAATGATGATCATAGTTCTGACATTATTAACGCCCTGTAAAGTGATGATCTTAGTTCTGACATTCTAAAATCCCTGTAAAGTGATCATCTTTTTTCTGACATTCTTAAGGCCCTGTAAAGTGATGATCTTAGGTCTGACATTTTAAAGGCCCTGTAAAGCGATGATCTTAGTTCTGATATTCTAAAGGCCCTGTAAAGTGATGATTTAAGTTCTTACATTCTAAAGGCCTTGTGAATGATGATCATAGATCTGACATTCTTAACGCCCTGTAAAGTGATGATCTTAGTTCTGACATTCTAAATGCCCTGTAAATGATGATCTTAGTTCTGACATTCTTAAGGTTCTGTAAAGTGATGATCTTAGTTCTGACATTTTAAAGGCCCTGTAAAGCGATGATCTTAGCTCTGACATTCTTAAGGCCCTGTAAAGCCATGATCTTAGATCTGACATTCTAAAGGCCCTGTAAAGTGATGATCCTAGTTCTGACATTCTAAAGGCCCTGTAAAGTGATGATCCTAGTTCTGACATTCTAAATTCCCTGTAAGTGATGATCTTAGTTCTGACATTCTAAAGGCCCTGTAAGTGATGATCTTAGCTCTGACCTTCTTAAGGCATTGTAAAGTGATGATCTTAGTTCTGGCATTATTAAGGTACAATAACGTGATGACATTAGTTCTGACATTGTAAAGGCCCTGTAAATTGATGATCTTAGTTCTGACATTTTTAAGGCATTGTAAAGTGATGATCTTATTTCCGGCATTATTAAGGTATAAATAACGTGATGACATTAGTTCTCACATTCTAAAGGCCTTGAAGGTGATGATCTTAGTTCTGACATTCTTAAGGCATTGTAAAGTGATGATCTTAGTTCTGGCATTATTAAGGTACAATAACGTGATGACATTAGTTCTTATATTCTAAAGGCCCTGTAAATGGATGATCTTAGTTCTGACATTCTAAATGCCTTGTAAGTGATGATCTTAGTTCTGATATTCTTAAGGCATTGTAAAGTGATGATCTTATTTCTGACATTCTAAAGGCCATGTAAAGTGATGATCTTAGTTCTGACATTCTAAAGGCCCTGTAAAGCGATGATCTTAGTTCAGATATTTTTAAGGCATTGTAAAGTGATGATCTTAGTTCTTACATTCTAAAGGCCCTGTAAAGTGATGATCTTAGTTTTGACATTTTAAAGACCCTGTAAAGTGATGATCTTAGTTCTGACATTCTAAAGGCCCTGTAAATAATGATCTTAGTTGTGACATGCTAAAGGCCCTGTGAGGCGATGATCTTAGTTCTGACATTCTAAAGGCCCTGTAAATGATGATCTTAGTTCTGACATTCTAAAGGACCTGTAAAGTGATGATCTTAGTTCTGGCATTATTAAGGTACAATTACTTGATGACATTAGTTCTGACATTCTAAAGGCCCTGAAGGTGATGATCTTAGTTCTGACATTCTTAAGGCATTGTAAAGTGATGATCTTAGTTCTGGCATTATTAAGGTACAATAATGTGATGATATTAGTTCTTACATTCTAAAGGCCCTGTAAGTGATGATCTTAGTTCTGACATTCTTAAGGCATTGTAAAGTGATGATCTTAGTTCTGGCATTATTAAGGTACAATAACGTGATTACATTAGTTCTGACATTCTAAAGGCCCTGTAAGTGATGATCTTAGTTCTGACATTCTTAAGGCATTGTAAAGCGATGATCTTAGTTCTGACATTCTTAAGAACCTGTAAAATTATGTTCTTAGTTCTGAAATTCTTAAGGCACTCTAAAGTGATGTTCTTAGTTGTAATATTTTAAAGACACTGAAACGTAAATGAAGACATAATGATTTGCCAAGCTTGATGCTACGGAGATAGTGCCACAAATTTCTTGAACTCCTGGATCTCTGCAAACCCAACCGGATCCTTATAGGGGTAGATTTCAACTTTCCTGGTTGGAACTGGCAGATTCTTGCTTTGAAGCCCAAGTCCCCATACCCGGTCCTACACTCTGAATTCATGGAAATAATTAACAGCCATGGTCTGGAACAGATGGTTAAAGAACCCACGCGAGGGGAAAACACTCTCGACCTACTCCTCACTAACAGTCCACATATCATCCCAAGAGTTGATGTCATCCCCGGGATATCAGACCACTGCATACCGTACTGCGAATTTCAAGTCAGCGTGCTAAAAAAGAAACAGGCTGTGCGAGAAATCCCCATTTATGCAAAGGCAGACTGGGATAGCCAGAGAAGTGCAACGACTGAGCTGAGTTCAAACATGCATGAGATTCAGGGTAATGCGACAACAGAAGAGCTGTGGATGATTCAAGACAACAATCACCGATGCAGTGATGAAATTCATACCACACAAGACCTCAAAACCTAAGACAAATCAACCATGGGTTACGGCTGAAAACAAAAGGCTCATACACAGGAGAGACCGCCAGTACAAACGTATGAAGAAGAATGGGTCGGTCGAACTAAAAGCCGAAGTACTGAGGCTCCAAAGAACCATCCAACGCTTACTGCGCAGATCATACTGGAACTACCTGAACGCATCTTCTCAGAGGAAGATACTACCGCCAAGAACAAGCGGTTCTGGAGCTATGTCAAGCATTAAAGGTCAACGAACATCGAGGTTTCCCCCCTGAGATGGGAAGGCAAGTTGACGTCTGAACCCAAAGAACAGGCGGACATACTCAATCAACAGTTCTAGTCGGTCTTTGGGGATGTTAGAGAGTACTCAGAAGTTGAGTTCCTTCTGAAGACCAACATGATGAGCACAGCCTATCCCACCATGGAAGATATCCAGATTTCAGAGAAGGGTGTGCTGGAACTTCTTAAAACCATTAACCCCTACAAGGCACGTGGTCCTGACAACATCAAACCACGAGTGCTAAAAGAATTGGCCGATTAAATCGCTCCTGCATTAACAATCCTCTTCCAATCGTCGCTATTCACAGGCAACGTTCCAACTGACTGGAGAACAGCGTATGCCACTCCAATCTACAAAAAAAAGGAGATCATTACGACCCAGGCAATTACCGCCCTGTATTGGAACACATAATCGTAAGCGTGGTCATGAATCACCTGGAAAGAAATAATATACTCAATGACTGTCAGCATGGCTTTCGAGTCAATAGATCATGCGAGACCCAACTCCTTGAATTTGCTGAAGATTGACGACCAACTTGGAGAACAGCAAGCAAACTGATGTGCATGTGCTGGACTTTTCAAAAGCGTTTGACCGTGTCAACCATAGCTTGCTATTACACAAACTGCATAGATATGAGATCCAAGGCACTACCAAAACATGGATCTCTAGCTTCCTCAGCGACCGATGCCAGGCAGTAGTGATAGATGGCAAAACCTCCTCCTTTTTCGGTGTTAAGTCAGGGGTCCCCCAGGGCTCAGTGCTAGGCCCTTGTTTGTTCCTAGAATATATCAATGATCTGCCAGAGAAGCTGACCTCTCAAGCAAGACTGTTCGCAGACGACACGGCGGTATATAGGACAATCGTCAACAGCTCTGACCAGAGCCAGCTTCAACAAGACCTCAATCGGTTAGCTGAGTGGGAGATGAGCTGGGACATGGAATTTCATCCCGTCAAGTGCCAGACCCTGTCAGTCTCCAGAAGCAGGTTCCCTCTAAACCACTCTTACGAACTGCATGGCCATATTCTTGAGCCAGTTTCCTCCGTTAAGTACTTGGGTGTTACCATCCAAAGAGAGGTCCGCTGGGACGAGCACATTAACAGTGTGTGCAACCGGGCAAACAAGACCCTGGGGTTCCTAAGGCGCAATCTGAAGATCGGCAACTCAAGCGTGATTTTGTCCGACCTATTTTAGAGTACGCTTCTACAGTCTGGGACCCATTTACCCAGAAAAGCATCGACAGGTTGGAGGCGGTCCAGCGACGGGCAGCGCGCTTTGTCATGAACCGCTACAGAAGCACCTCAAGTGTTGGCAGCATGTTTGAAACACTGGGCTGGTCTACATTGGAAGAACGACGACGACTATCCATGTTGTACAAGATAACAAATGGGCTGGTCCACTGCTCCGGAATCAAACAGAAACTCGTTCATCTTCCCCCTAGACTGCGACGAAGCCACGACAGACAGTTCCGGCTGGTAAAAATAAGAACAAAGTACAGAGCTCCTCATTCCTTCCGAAGACAATAGGGGACGGGAACAAGCTTCCAAAAGCAACAGTTGAGGCAGCTACACTCGACACATTTGTGTCTATTGCCTCCTGTATTCCAACCCCCAGTTCATAACACCACTGCTGAGTTGCCCTTGCAACCAGTGAAGTATCCCATTGAAACCCATGGACAGTAACATCGCAAACCCCTCTGAAACATAGGAGCCAGAATGATCAATTCATTGATCGTGGGCCCTCAAAATAAAGAAGAAGAAGACGAATAAACCCAAAGAGAACTATGTTCTACGAATGTGTGGATCATTCAGTTCACGTTTCGTAGTCAACATTCTTTTGCCAAAAATGTGTCTTGTTTAACATTTTCAGTATTCATGAGACAATGTTTTCATTCAAGTTTGGTTCCAATCATAGATGGGATGTTTTAATTGAAAACACTGGAATGTCAGAGGGACAAAAATCATTGCGCTATAGTACTCGTCATGCTGCAGTAAACTCAATTAGAATACGTTCAAATATTGTGTGGGGGCCTTGGACTCTCTGTGTAACCTTCATTATACATGAGGTACCGCATACAGTCTTGGACACACGATTTACAGCATAAAGTCTTAGACAGACGAGGTACAGCACAAAGTCTTGAACATGCGAGGTGCAGCACAAAGTCTTGGACACACAATGTTTAGCACAAAATCTTGGACACATGAAGTACAGCCAAAATTCTTGGACACACGAGGTACAGCACAAAGTCTTGAACATACGATGTACAGCACAAAGCCTTGGATATACGAGGCACAGTAGAAAGTCTTGGACACAAGAGGTACAGCATAAAATCTTGTTGGACACATGCGTTACAGCACAAAGTCTTGGACACAAGAGGTACAGCACAAAGTCTTGGACACATGAGGTACAGCACAAAGTCTTGGAAACAAGAGGTATAGCACAAAGTCTTGGACACACGAGGTACAGCACAAAGTCTTGGACACACGAGGTACAGCACAAAGTCTTGGACACACGAGGTACAGCACAAAGTCTTGGACACAAGAGGTATAGCAGAAAGTCTTGGACACACAATGTTTAGCACAAAATCTTGGACACATGAAGTACATCCAAAATTGTTGGACACACGAGGTACAGCACACAGTCTTGGACACACGATGTTTAGCACAAAGTTTTGGACACATGAGGTACAGCCAAAATTGTTGGACACGCGAGGTACAGCACAAGTTTTGAACACTCGAGGTACAGCACAAAGCCTTGGATATACGAGGCACAGTAGAAAGTCTTGGACACACGAGGTAGAGTACAAAGTCTTAGACACATCAGGAACAGCACAAAACTCTTAGCATGCTGTGATACTTGAGGAAGTTAATCTTCCTCAGCAGTACCGACAGTTGAAGGGCTTACCTTTCATCAAATGGTCACCTACGCAGAAGCGCTTTTTGGATTATTCAATTGAACAATCACTTCTAAACTCAGACCCAGATTGAATTTCATCTTTAAATAGAATAAGATATTAGCATGGATTAAAAAAAAAATCAAGACTCAATTTGCAAGATGCAGGAAAAAATCAAGAGGGCAAATCGATGAACAGCTACTTTAGACTGTTTATCATGTTTTTTTATTAGTTGTGTCTGAAGGAGTTTTAATATTGCTCCCAAATTGAACCTTTCCTATAATGAGCTTTCTGAAAGTTAACTTTGATTGAAGTGCCAATGTTGCGAAGGCATCACAAAGCGGGCGTTTATTAATTATTTCAAGTATAATGTATTCTGTATGATCTGGTTAATAATAACTCATTACAGGAAGGGGTGGGGGAGTCCAGTTGGGGTGACACCATTATGTTACCGCACAGGTGGAAAATACCTTATTGACGCCTCTGCCTGCTGCAGTGCAGTATCCTCGGATACTTATGGGGCCCAAAGTTGTGTCATGGAAGAAAAAAAATTAATTATCAACTTTGACACAGGGGGCACACAATCGAGAAGCGGCAGGGGTTCTCAAAACATCACGTGATCATTATTATTATTATTTATTTATTTTTTTGCGTGGTGGGGGAAATTTAACAAAAAAAATGGAAAGCTGCTTTTGATAACAAACTTAATTATACGCTACAGGCCTACGCAAAACAATAATTATTTTTTAATAGAACAACAATTTTGCTCGAGCCCTAATGACACCCTCCCAGATCGACCACTGAATTTAAAGTTAACTTTTGGCTTTGTTAGGTTTTTGTGTCTAAAATCATAAGTCTGGCAAACGTTTAAGTAAAATTAATATAGGATTCATAACACTCAGTGGGGAATTGGAATGGCGATTAGGGGAGGGGGAAGTGGTTGCATCCAGACATGTGATCAATTTTGGATGATGTTGTCATATTTAAAAAATATATTTATTTTTTTAGTACTGTTGTAATTTAATAACATGACCCCCCCCCCCACAAACCCTTTTCCCGACCACCCAACACTTTAGCTTTAATAAGATCAGTGGTCTTTCATTGGGATACGCCGGCGATCCAGACGAGTTGTAAGTGTGGGATGACATTTACATCCGATAAGACTGTTGGTGATGGGACATGTGGTGGCGTAAAGGGGGGGAGGGAGGGGGAGGAGGGCGACGGGCCGATCCGTCCATTGCGGCCCCTTTTTTTCTTTCTATGGAAGGTGGCTTTTTCCTGCGTGGAATAGTTGCATTGAAATGTTGACACGCCCCGCCCCACTTTTTAACTAACTCTAGCTACGCCACTGCAAGGGATTTATCGAAGCCCCTTGATGGTCAAGTAGCATAAATTTTATATTAACTGCCCCCCCCCCCAACCCAAGACAAATGCTGATCGTTGATATATATTTCAATGTAATACTTTTATTTTTATTTTTAAAGATTCATGTCTGATTGAGACTGAAATAACACAACATTTGTTTTGTGTTCCTAAATCTAATCTCGGATTCCATTATTACATAAAGAACAGGGCTGCAACTTTTGACTTCACTGAAAAATAAGACCATGGACCGCGGAGTTGAGACAGCTCACAAATGGAGTTTTATGTAACACTCTAAACTAAGACTAAACGGTGTGAAACAGGAGCATGTCGGTAAAGTGATCCAACTTGTGAGATGGATCATATTTAGACTTATCGTTAAGAAATTATGTGTCTTCTGTAAGGCCTTCATAGCCAGAACTAGCCTAGTCTCAAAGAAGAAGCAAAATATCGATGTGTCTAGTGTCTCTGCAGACACTTACATGACACAACTGATGATGCGAGTGCACATATATTTCTCACCTTTCATAGTCCGCTGATCTACAGCCATGTCAGCTCGCGATCTCCTGTCAAAATATCCCGTTCTAAGCTGTCATTACACACACAACCGCCACTTACCGGCCCGGCCCGCCCCCGATGTCGCGGTACTACACTCGTCTCCATGCCTGGAGTTTCGTGACCTACTTTCGCTTAACTCGAGGTTTAAAAAAAATATCTGACAAAGGAATGAAAGGGTGTCTGTATGATTGTGTATCATTATCATTCAGCCGTATGTGTAGACATAAATCACGACGGGTGACGCCATCAGTTGGATTGGATCTTAATACCCCTCGTGTACTGCGTCCTCTAGGCATAAGCGGAGGTGACCATATGTAAAATAATTCGAAAATGTTTCTTAACATAGGTAGGCGAGGAAGCTACTTTAGCAATGCCGTAGGTACTAGGGGGGGGGGGGGGGGGGGCGAAGGGGGCGGTCCGCTAAGGGAAGCACTTTATTAAAAACTTGTTGAGGGGCGCCATTTTTGGCCAACTCCATTTGTCCTCTTCGTCGAAGAAGACGGTACGTTTTTAGTAATTTGTGTTGCACTTTAGACTTTAGAGAGCGGCCCCGGACGGCGCTAACTTTAACTATTGCACTTTAGACTTTATTTTTGATTAAACCACTCTAGATTGTGCAAAAAGACTATGGACGTGAATAATCTCAAAGCCTTTCTTGATCCAAGTTTCGCTTATAAAACTCTAAAACTATAACTAGTCTCCAATGCTTTTCTACTGAATAAATAATGTGCGTCTCTCATTTATTTGTTATTGTTGTTTTTTGTCCACTAATTCTTGTTTTATCTTTAAAATAAATTAATTGGGATCATGTGTGTGAACATCATGCGAACGATGTAGAGATCTCAACATGGCCTAAACTGAAACAATCTATGGATATAAGAAATACTTCTGATGAACTGTGCGTGTGGTGGGTGGCCGATGGGCTTATCCAGGAGTGTAGCTAGACCGGGTGGGGTGGGGGCTCCCGAGCCCTGGACCTCCCCTGCTGGCGCCAAGACATCTTACTAATTGACCCAAATCCGATGAGGTCTCAAGGGATGGCAAAAGTCGGACCCACCCTTTGAAAAAAAAGTAACCTACGCCCCTGCCGCACATGAACGGTATCTGATATGAAGTTAGCCACGGTCATTGTCCTCGCCATCAGGGCGGAGCTTTAAGTGAATTGAATGTGAACAGAAACAAATGAATGTGCGTAGGAAAGAAAACAAAATAGCAAGGCAACCCTGGTGTGGCATGACGCGTGGCTTATGTCCAAACTTATTTTTAAACAGAAAAAAATAAAAATAAAATAAACCAACTGTTCATCCTGTCATTTCCTTGATCAAATTTCCTTTCTATTCTGTCGATCCAAATGTAATACCTTTACGTTACTCCAGTAGGTTGTCATACAAGACTTGTAACATAACCTAAGTGGCCCGGGCCTCCATCACCTCCGTTGATATGACGCCAATGTTCCTATCATATTTTGGTGTCATCAGAATTGTTGTTGCTGGTTTGTTTTTAGGGGAGGGGTGGGCGCAAAAATGTTGACCAGCCCTGGGTGACACCAAAAATAGCAAGGCTACTGCGTCTAACATTCATGATATCGAATCATTTAAAATAATAATTGTTATAATAATACTAATATAAATAATGTAAAAAGTAATAATAATATAATAGCCATGATAGAAAAAAAAACAAAATGATCTGAAAACCGATGATATAATGTACAGCCTTATATAATACAATTACCTACTTAAATAGCCTTACATAATACAATTACCTACTTAAATAGCCTTACATAATACAATTACCTACTTATATAGCCTTACATAATACATTTACCTACTTATATAGCCTTACATAATACATTTACCTACTTATATAGCCTTACATAATACATTTATCTACTTATATAGCCTACCATAATACATTTACCTACTTATATAGCCTTACATAATACATTTACCTACTTATACTGCCTTACATCATACGTTTACCTACTTATATAGCCTTAAATAATACATTTACCTACTTATATAGCCTTATATAATACAATTACCTACTTATATAGCCTTATATAATACAATTACCTACTTATACAGCCTTACATAATACATTTACCTACTTATAAAAAGACATGTTACTTATGTCATTAACGCTTTGGGGACACTCCTTGTTATGTCAAAACGATATGAGTTTACGCCTTGTTTGTTTAGCAACGTGTCATCCGGTAAAACACCTTTGTTCATGTCATCACGTAGCACACCTTAGTTCATGTCATCACGTAGCACACCTTAGTTCATGTCATCACGTAGCACACCTTTGTTCATGTCATCACGTAGCACACCTTTGTTCATGTCATCACGTAGCACACCTTTGTTCATGTCATCACGTAGCACACCTTTGTTCATGTCATCACGTAGCACACCTTAGTTCATGTCATCACGTAGCACACCTTTGTTCATGTCATCACGTAGCACACCTTTGTTCATGCCGTCGTTGTTATCCATAACATTTAGATCATCATAAAATGACCACAACGAGACACTCTGGTTTGAGCTAATTGTGACACACCAGGTAGAGAGGATAATCAGCCGGGTCTCTTGAACCAGATCAATACTTTAGATGGACATATTCAAGTCGACAGTATGCAACGTCAAATGATGTGGACATATTCAATTCGACATTATATAACGTCAAAATGATATGGACATAACCAATTTGACATTATGCTATGTCAAATTATATGGACATTTCCAAGGTGACATCAAATTACGAAGTTATTTTAAACATCCAATGAACAATCTGATAATGAATCAAGGTGTTCCAAGACATCAGATGACAAGTTATTCTGCAGCCTGCAATCTACTGCAATGTATTACAATTCCCCATAAACTCTTAGAACCTTCAAATCAATGTCGTGACAGTTTCAGTTTCTGAAAGGATATGCATCAAAATTGCCCCTTTGTCCAATGATAATTCCCACTGTTAACATGAAAAATCACAGAATTCAATAGGCCTAAATGAAAGAAATAGGGAAAGAAAAGAACTAGATCGCTATGCGAGTCACGATATCTTCCACAAAGTGAATTATCATAAATGTTTTAAATATAAAATAAAAACACCATTAAAAAAGTCTTATATTGATAAAAATACTACTCGAGAAATGAGACCTCATTAAATGCTCTCCGAAGCTCATTATAGGATAACGGTAGTGATTTCACAATAACAAGGACACACGTATTTAATTGTAAAGATACAAATTGGATATTTCCTCTGATTGATACTAAGGTACAAATTTTCAACTTAAATTTGTGTGTGTGTGTGTTTGGCTAGGATATATTTCTTTTCTTTCTGATCCCTGGAATTATTCAATAGAATTCAGAAATACTTGATCTAGTCTGTCCTATTGATCTAGTCTATCCCATTGATCAAGTCTGTCTTATTGATCTAGTCTGTCCTATGGATCTAGTCTATCCCATTGATCGAGTCTGTCGTATTGATCTAGTCTGTCCTATGGATCTAGTCTATCCCATTGATCTAGTCTATCCCTTTGATCTAGTCTATCCTATGGATCGAGTCTGTCCTATTGGGCTATTATATCCTTTTGACAAGATGGCTGACACGCAAACATCCACTGCTCAAACAACCCAGAAAAAACGCAGCAATTCTCACAAGTGTTGCAGGACACCCTTGCTAAAGGATCACACGATGGAACTATTGAGTCTAAGTGGAGCCATTTACGAGATGCTGTGTACGATTCAGCCATGTCCGCCTACGGTAAAAAGGAGCATAAAAATAATGACTGGTACGAGGCGCATTGGAATGTGATGGAACCCGTAATCGAGAGGGAGAGAAGAGCCTTACTTGCCTATAGGGAAGCACCTTGTGTTAGTGCACTGCAGGCTCTCGAACCGCAAAAAAAATATCACAGCAGACGGCCCGCCACTGTGCCAACACTTACTGGCTAGACCTTTGCAATTTCATACAATCGGCTTCAGAGAACGGAGATGCAAGGAGCATGTACGAGGGCATCAAGAGGGCATTTGGTCCACACACGTCAAAAATAGCACCACTCAAGTCCAAGACGGGTCAAATTATCAAGAATCCAAATGATCAACTCCGGCGTTGGGTAGAGCATTATCTTGAGCTATACTCTACAATGAATGTAGTTACTGAGATCGCTCTCCATAATATTCCTGCCTTGTCAGTAATGAATGAACTGGATGAAGAGCCAACTTTACAGGAGCTCGAAAAAGCCATGGATTACCTTGTGGAAAGGCTCCAGGGATCGACGGCATCCCAGCGGAAATCCTCAAAAAAGGAAAACCTATCCTACTTCAGCCCTTACATGAGCTCCTCTGTCTGTGTTGGGAAACTGATCACATTCCCCAGGAGATGAGAGACGCCAACATCGAAACATTGTATAAAACTAAGAGCCTTGTGAACCGCATCTACCCAGAGTCCCAGTGTGGCTTCAGGAGTGGGCGCTCAACAATAGACATGTTATTTTCGCTACGCCAAATGCAGGAGAAATGTCGCGAACAGCATATGCCTCTTTATATTGCCTTCATAGACCTGACCAAGGCATTTGACTTGGTAAGTCGAAAAGGCCTTTTCAGTATCTTGCTCACAATAATACAGTCATTTCACAAAAACATGCACAGCACAGTAACTTTCAATGGCACTGTCGCTGAGTTATTTCCAGTTATCAGCGGAGTAAAACAGGGTTGTGTACTGGCACCAACGCTCTTTTCAATTTTCTTTTCGATGCTCTTTCAATTTGCTTTCAGTGACTGTGAAAATGGAGTGTACGTCCATACAAGATCTGATGGAAGACGGTTCAATATCGCCCGCCTTCGTGCAAAGACCAAAGTAAAAAAGGTGCTGATTCTTGAGCTGCTGTTTGCTGACGATGCCGCCTTAACATCTCACACAGAAGAAGGTCTGCAGGGGCTGGTTACTCGTCTATCACATGCTTGTAAAGAGTTTGGTCTTTCGATTAGTCTACAGAAAACTCATGTAATGATCCAAGAAGCACCGTCCCCTCCAATCATGTCTATGGAGGGACATAATCTTTCGG